AAGGGAATGTTTGTGTTTTATGAGCTTTAATAGCTGCTCTTCAGCGTAAATCAGCCTGGATCCATCACGTGTCCGCTCCTATCTGCGGGATCATAAACCACAACTTCCCGTTTGTGCCCTGGCACTGCAGCATCAACCACGGGGACAATAGAAACCCCTTCAGGGGGGTTATGTGAGTGGCACCAGAGTCCTTTCCGCTGTGCTTGATAAGACACCGTGTTCCTGCCAGCCAAGCTGTTGTAAAACCACTGGAGCAAATGGAGCCCTGGCGGTTCCTCCGCTCCCAACCTGCTGTGTGGACTGAGCTCTCTCTCCACAGGGACACTCCTGGGACTGCAGCTGTCACAGCACACAGCTCCTAAAATGTTTGAGCTGACCCAGTGATCTGGAGCACTGAAATTCTCTGGGGAGAGGAAATGAGTGGTGAATCCTCCCTTTTACTGAGATGCGTTGGGCACCAAGGGCTGCACAGGCAGGGGGTGCCATCAGTCACAGTGGATCTCAGCTGACAGGGCTGGAGAAGCTTCAGCACCTCCGTGGTTGACTTGCTGTCTTCATCTTGCTGTTTTAAGGTTTGAACTCCATCTCTTGGGTGCCTTAGGGAGGTCACTGCTGCTCTCCCAGGAGCACTCCCAGGTTCAGCAGTGACTGTGGGTTCCAGGGCACAAACCATTCTGTTTTACTGCCTGTAAGAAAGCATTTTGTGCAATGCTGAGAGCTTCATGTACAGCAAACTCAAAGGATTGTAGGTTTGCAGAGATAGTGCATTCTTGATAGGAAACGTCCATGATTTATTTAGAGTTTAATCTCAACATCAGCACAATCAGCAAAATGTAAAACTTCTGCCTTTCTTTCTCTCTCCTATAAATTCTTCATAACTACCCATATCTGCAAACTCATCCATCAAGATCTTTCTCTTACGTGCTGGGAACAACGAGCAGCCTTGGTAATGTGGGAAGGGAATGGGTGTTGACATGATGAAGGTAATTTCAGTCAGTGAAAAACAATGTATTTTTGAGAGGTAATAAAAAGGAAGGGCATGGAGAAGTTTAGCTGGAGATAGCTAGGAGATGGATTATGGGAAAACAAACCCCATGGTTGTTAAAACGGTATCAGCTGTTCAGGTTTCTTTTTACATCCAAACAGTGCTTGACTACTGGATGTCCAAATCACTTCAGAAGATATTAATAGGTAAAAGATAATAAAATAACCCAAATTGATTATGATCTTATACCGTTTATGATATAACTTTAAATGCAAATTGCATTCAACTGCAAGAAGGGAAATGATGTCCCAAAGGCATTTCAATTAATTGCTGTAGTTAATTACACTCATAATTTTACTTGTGTGACTAATTATAATCAGGTTTTATCGGTGTATATGGATTTACTTCTGATACTAAGAGCCCCAAACAGCAGGTTATTTTTGGGAAATACATTTAAACTTCGTAACGAAAACTGCACGTTCCCGTTCTCAGCAGCTGGCTGGAAGGAGCTGTGTCTGTGCAGGAGGAGTTGGGAGGAGATCAGGAAGGGATCGTGCTGAGGAGAGGTCTGGGGAGGCCACTGTGGTGTGGCTGCTGATGCTCCATTGCTCACTCTCCCAATTACTTTGATTGCTTTTTATCCTGTGCTGGGCACCGGAGTCCTCGGTGGTGATCCCGAGGTGTCAGCCGGTTCCAGAGGGACTGGGAAGGCACTGGAAGTGCCACCTGCAGCAAATGCAGCTGTATAATCTGTCACACTTTAGAACAGTAGTGTGCACATACCCAACCCTGTGACCCCATTTCATATCTAAACTTCTGAATTCTTTTCTTTTGTTCAGGCTTCTCTCAAGGCACAGGCCTTCATTCTGGTTTGGAACATTTGCACCCCAGGCCTTTACAACAATGTGTGCCCTGGTCACAGCAACCTTCAAATACCTTTTTTTTTGGGGATGCCAATGCTTGCCATGGTGTCTCTGCCACCCAAACCCTGGGACACAACACCTACCCCGGGATGGGGTGTTTATTCCTTGGGATGGCCCCGGGATGAAGGAGCTCCCTCAGCCTGAAGGGGACCCCCGGGAAATGCCGGCCAGCAGAGCTCAGGGGTGCCCAACCCCGAGCCTGCCCCCCCTGCTGTGCCCAGAGGGAGTTTTTGGCCTTTCCTCCCCTTGTTTTCATATTTTTCCTGGCTTTTTGTCCCCTCAGTTCGAGTTTCCCGGCAGGGCCTGGCCCTGGTGCCCAGCTCTGCCATGGCTGCCCTGGCCCCCTCAGAGCCCGGCCTGGCCCCGCTGCCTCTGAGGGCGAGTCCGTCCTGTCCACGAGGACACAACAGACAGGGAAAACCCACACTCCTTTTCTTTTTTTTTAATACAATTTATGATTTTCTCCCATATGCAACGTTTTCCACAGTGACCTCTGAGTTTCTCTGTCACTGAGTTGGTTTAAAATCCCATCTCATTTTAGTGCTTGGTGGAAGAAAATCACCAAGTGCACTTCTAACTCTATCAAAACAGAGCATCCTATCTCCAAGGGTAATAATTTTTCATAGAATCATTTATAGAATAATAGAACCATTTAGGTTGGAAAAGACTTTTAAGATCATTGAGTCCAACTGTAATTTTTGTGGTGTTGTCCTGGGCAAGGCACAGCACCAGGCGATGGTCCCCTCTGTCTCTGATTGATGTTAGACATGGTATTAACACATTTGTTAAACTCTGAAACTAGCCTGGGAAGTTCAGTAGGCTTCTCTGTATCTTTTTGACTATAGGTGGATGGATGGATATTTTACATGCATTTGCTGTATGGTCTCTTTTTAACTGGAAGGCTGCTGGCTGTGCTGGCAAGTGCTGTTTTCCCTGTGAAATCCACTTCTGGATGGGCCATGAAGGAAAGGACAAGGCAAAAGGCTTTATCCCCTTCTCCCAGCAGTGACAGTAAATTAATTTTGTACAGACAAGTGCATTTTGAGCTGGTGTTTGTCACAGGAGGAGCTGACTGCACAATGGAGCCGCCAAGTTTGTCAGAATTCTTTGTGGCTAATGTAAATATGTTTCTTGTGAGTAATGATTTGGTTTCCTTGTCTCTTTCTGCTTCCTGAGAAAATGTTTTGCTGAAAACATATTGTATTAAGAATTTTTTTTGGTGCCTGCCCCTGCTGTCACCTCCTGCTCCTGATGTTTGTGTTCATGTGGGAGAGCTGCTCCTTCACCTCTCACACCTCCGGAGGGGGCACTCACGTCAAGGTCTGACCTGGGAATGAGCTTTTTGGATGTGTTGTACAAACCCCTGTAATCTCAGCTCAGAGTGTTTTTAGGATCAGGGAGGATCTGCTGGTCTGTTGAGTCCCCAGTTGCTGCTCAGCACATGAATGGGCTCTGCCATGGCAGCAGTTCCAGCCCTGAACCAAAGTCCAAGCTGCTTCCCAAGGACAGAGCTCTGGTAAGCAAAGCTGCATCCCCACTTTGATAACCTCCCAAACGTTTTGGCCTTTGCCCTCTTGAGCACCATCACTTCATAATCTGGTTTCCTGCAACCCAAATGCTGCTCTACCTCCCGCTTGATGCAGATCGACTCAGCCTCTGCTTGTCTCTGTTTTAAACCCCAGACTTTCCTCCAGTGAATTTTACTTTCCAATGTAGTTTCATTTTCTCTTGCACTCCAGTTTTCAGCCCCAGAAGACGAGCAGTCATCGAGTCTGGCTCCAGCAGATGTGAAATGTATTAGCAAAGTTCTGTGCTGACTTTTCTGTCCATGGGAAAATAATGTTCTCTCTGGATCCTTCTAAATACTTTTGTTCCTTCCCCCACCCTTTCCTGTATTATCATGGCCTGGCCATTTGTCCTTCAGGAGTTCCTCTCGTTTCCTGGTGTCTCCACAATGTAAGAAGTTTCATGCCAAACACGGCATGGACAAAATTCCTGACAATCAGCACCTGAAGCTACCTGTGGAACAGCAAATGACTTTTCCATAACCATCCTCACAAAGGCAAATCAAATGTCCCCACTTGGAAGCCTTCCTGTCTTTTACTGCTTTCTAAATGCAGTGGCTTTTGCTGTAGGTCTGGATTTGTTCGGTGCCTCAGCGCTGGTCCTGTCCTTGGCACGCCCTGTCCCAGAACAGAACGTGTCACCTGAGTGCAGAGAGGAGACTCTGCCACGGGACAGACTGAACTCAACCACTGTCACAGGTCCACGTTGGGACGTTTCCCTTTTCCTCATTGCCACAGCACTGAGTCACTCAGGAAAACAGCGGCACTTGTCTAATCAGGTTTTATTCATGCTGGGGTTGGTGCAGGAGAGAACTTAGAGAGGACTAACCCTCTTCTCAGCAGATTTTTGTCTTTCTCTTAGTTCTGTTTTAGTATGTTTCACAGTAAATAAGATCCTCCCACACTGTAACTGATGGCTGTAAATGCTTCTCTCTATCTCCATGATAAACTGAGGCACAGCCTAGTGAAAACTGCCCCAGTTTGATTTATCATTTATCACCAGCAAAAAAATGACAGCTGACCCCCACCCTCCATAGGTTATTCCACTCATCCTTAATGAGCTGAGGAGTGAGGGAACAGAGAGGGATGATGGGCTCTGGTGCATCTTTCTTAGTGCAAAAGGCATTTCCCAGTGAGGCATCCTGGGGAACGTTCCCACCACTGCTGTGGCCAACAGGAGCTCCCAGGGCTGCAGGAGTTCCCTGAGCCTTTCAGAATATTCCATTTCTTGTGTCCTGGGGAACAGCAAGAAAACGAAGCAGCAATCTGCTGTGTGCAGAGAACAGCCAGGTGATGTGAAATAAATCTCCAGCAAACTGCTGACAGGAGAAACATCCCCAGGCACTGCAAATCCCTGCCCCCCCTTCCCCAAAAATGCAAACCCAGCCCTAAACCCAACCCTAAATATTGTGAAGAAAACAGGAGGGGAAAAAAAGTGACATTCCTGTTCTGAAAGAGTGTTTGCAGATTCCCCTTCAGCAAGGACAAAAGAAATAAAAACTCAGAACAATTCAAATATAGGTCTCTTTCAACTTTAATATTTTGTTTATGTTTGCTCCTCAAAAGTTTTTCTGTTACATAAAAATACACTTTAAGTATCAATCATTCCTTTAAACATTAAATAGGTGGATTTGCTTTCCCATGTGTGTTTTTAAAGCTTATATTATTGATTGATAAATATGAAAATAGTCGCCCCCCGTTTTTTCTGCTTTGGTGAGCTGTGGTTACTCTCACTGCCAGGATTTTCCTGAAAATGGCCATATAACTGTAGTATAAAGTAATCTGTGCAAACACTGCCCTAAAGAAAAAAAAATACAAGTCTGCTACTATGAAATCCTATTTTGGTGTGGCCAAAATCTAAATTTCTAAAAGAAGCCATAACGTGTTATAACACAAGGAAACCCCATCCACCAAGATCTTTTCTGTAAGTAACTGGGTAAGATCTGAAGGTATCAGTTCAAATCACAATCTTCTTGGAAAAACTGTCTTTGCCATATGTGAATATTGTTATTAAAAATTATATATATATATATAAAAGAAATATATATATATATATAAAAGAAATATATATAAGAAAGAGCCATTTCTTCAGCTGTCCCATTTTATTAGTCAGATAAAAACTGTAAAGGATCATCAGAGTCCCACACTTCAAATGCAGCCCTCCAAAGAGAGGGAATTTCCACGGATGTGCCCCTGGTCCGTGGGGAGGAGCTTCCCTGCTGCTCTGTGGCACATCAGGTCGGCCCTGGGCTGAATAAATAACAGAGAAAGCTGAAAGGCAGAGCTGGGAGAGCAGGTGAGAGGAATCCAGCATCCTTTGGGAAGTGATTCGGCCCCTCTGCAGGGAGAGGGGGTTGTGTTAGGTGAGGTTTGTCCCGTGTGGGGGTGACCCACGTGTTGCTCCGCTGGGTGGGAGCGTTTTTCCCAGTGTGGGATTAGAGGAATGACTGCCAGGTTTGAGTGTAAACATCCTCCAAACAAACCCCTTCACAGGCACTTAGGAACAGGTTCCTCTTGAAGGTCCTCTGTGCACCTTGTCAAGTGTCCTTCCAGTGGTGTGTTAAAACTACAGGTCTGCAGATAATCCATCCCAAGCCATCCTAAGGTTTCCTCTGAGTGTTCTGGGTTGGTTTATTTTGAAAGTGAAGCTCCGCAGCTTTATCTTACGGTTCCTTTGGGTTCTGGTGGCTTAGTGCAACGGGTTTCATTTTCTGTAAGAGCAGCACAGTCCCTGGCCAATGCCTGGAGGAGGACAAGGTTACATCCTGCACTGAGATACGGGTCACGAGTTGGTAATTAGAGAGGCTACTCGATACAAAGAGCCAACAACAGTGAGAATAACCAAAAAAAAAAGGGGGAAAAAAAAAAAAAAAGAGCAGAATGTTGACTGAGGTGAGAAATGTTCACTGGGAAGGAGAGCTCAGGAAGAAGGTGAGCGTGAGGAGCAGCAGGAGGAGCTTTGCCGGGGGCAGGACGGTGCTGGCGCTGGACCAGGACACCTTGCGCTCGTGCAGGGGCTGGACGGGCCGGAAATTTTCGATCATGTGGGTTGAGTTCTTCCCATCAAAGTGCAGAGCTGCAAAGTAGGAGAGCTGCAGGCAGGGAAGGAGAGAGAACAGATCGTTAAACCCTTTTTTTCCTCCCCCCATAGGACTCTGGGAAGTGCGGTGTCGCAAACCCGCGGGTTTGGACGGTGTGGATGAACCAAAGCTTGCAGGAAGCGCCGTGACAGAGGCCACTGCCAGGGGTCACCCACAGATGACTCCTGACAGCCTTGGAAATCAGGGGCACTTCCTTTCTGCGTGAGCCAAGCGCTTTGTTCACCTCAAGAGCCTGGTTGCCCCTGTCCTCCTGACGCACACGGCCCTGTCCTCGCCCACCACGTCACGGTGACACAAGGTGGGAGCACGAGGACTTCTGTCTTTGCTCCAAACTTCTCCCAGCACTGTCAGATGCTGAGCTGTGCCTGGCTGAGCACTGCCCTGTGACTGAGGGGCTGGGAGGAAACCGGGAGCAAGGAGCTCAAATGCAGGTGCTGGCCCTCAGCCAGGCTGTGCAGCCTCTGGACAGGCTGCGTTTTCGAGGCACTCGTGATTCAACCTCCTGTTCCTCCCTGCAGGTCGAAAACGGGCTGCTTAAAGCTGGTGCTGATAGGCTCAAAGTTTGGATTTGGAATTATTCTGTTCTGGCCTCCTGCCAGCAGGAGGAAAGCCATGAAATTTGGGAGTGAGCAGGTGACAGCAGTGGAAGTGGCGCTGACGAAGCGCTGAGCTGGGCCACTACCTGGGGGGTTTTCTTGGCTTTCTTTTCGCGTCGTCATTTCCCCTTCCTTCCCCTTTCCTGCCATTTTTTGGGAGGTGATTTAATAGGGTCAGTCAGCTGGCACTAGGGAGTACATTTAGGCTAATGCCAAGTGAGTGTGTTTGGAACGAGGCAGTGGAGCCGCCGCTCAGGCTGTGTCGCTGTGGGGGCGGGCAGGCAGCCCAAGGGGCAAAGCAGACCCTCCCCTGGGACTCACCTGGAGAAGACTGAGTTCAATTGGCCTCTCAAATATTGTCCAGATGACACCCTCGAAGCAGTCAGGGGTGGTGAGGGAGCCCTCATACCGATAGTACCTCCCAAGCTCTTCCTTGGGCGGGAGAAGGGAACTCAGTGGCAAAGGATCGATCTGTGCTGATAGCCCTGAACAAACCACGGGAAAACACTGCTTGTAACACTTGGGGCTGCTGGTTTTGTCCACATTTATCTTCAGCACCTCCCTCATTGCACAGCTTGTGAAACCCCTGTCCAGGTGTCTCTCTTACCTTTGTATTGGATATTCTCTAATTCATTCAGTAGAGTTGCGTAATTTTTATTTTCCTCGTCAACCTGAAATGGAAACGTTTTGATTCCAAATCACGCATTTCTCAACCACTGGTGGCTTTGAATTAATTGTGGATAAACCAGAAGGGAACCACGAGGGTAAAAAGCACCAGCAAGCAGGATGTAGAAGAGGGTAGAGGAACTAAGTGCTGGCAGAATGCCTGCAGAAGACAGGGAGGGTTAGGTCTTGTGTACTGCAGTGTTGACATAAACAATCACTCAGCCAAATTGCTGGGAGGTTTGAGATGGACAATTAGAAATTGGACTGCCTACCTTTATAAAGAAGGCCAGCACAGCCAAACCATCCTTGTACTTCTTGGCTTCTGCTACGTTGGGAACATCTTCTCTGATGTGGACAAGGTGCAGCTGTAACACAAGAGCCAAGAACAATTATTTTCTCCTTTTCCACTGCTGTGGGGCTGGAGCTGCTCGTGCCTTGTGGGCTGGGGACAGACAGCTCGAGCCCCCTGACCTGGGGCAGGAACTGTGCAATCAGTGAATTTGGAACGTGCCCATCAGCAATCATTTCATACACACACCACTCCTCCCTCAGAAGGTGAAGTGCTCTGTGTTCCACTGCCCTCAGTTCCCAGCCTGTGCACTGGGACAGGCAGATTTTCATGTTGTGGTTTGAAAGGGGGGTGGTTTCCTTCCACCAGTCCTTGTGTATCTGCACTGGTGACTTGTCTTGCCTTGAAGAGAAAATCTCTGCTTGCACAGGTCAGTGGGTGCAGTCCCAGAAATGAAGCTGGGTAAGCAGTGGGAGAGCAATTTACCACTGGGCTTCCAAACAGAGAAATTATGTTTAACGTGTGAAGAGGGTAATCTGTGCAGACTTTAAAACATTTCTCCTCCCAGGTGCTGTGTAACCCCAGCTTTGGAGTCTGCTCTGTGCCTGTGCTGTGCCAAACCAGTGTGTTTTCCTGGGAGTGAGCAGTGTCCTCCCTTCCACATTCCCACCATCAGACTTCCCTGGGAGACCCAGCCAATAGTTTTTGTGAAAAGCATCTTGAAAAGCAGAGTTCTGCAGTAAAACCCATAACCCCCCAGCGTTCTCACCCACCTCCATGGCGTATTTCTCCCCATCTATGCTGTGCTCTGAGCCAGGGATGTATTGCTGCACTCCTGGGCTGCTTTGCTGCATGCTTGGGACCCCCCAGTGCAAATGGAATTCCACTGCCTTGTATTTCCTTGCCAGACCTCCACCTCCAATTTTGGGGGATGCATCCAGTGTTACCTTCACTGGGGGGAAAAAAGGGAAGCTGTTTTAAAGGCAAAAATCAGATCAGGCATTGGTAGGATGTGAGAGCAGAGATTCAGATTTGTCTGAAAGTTCTGGCTTGGTTTTTCATGCCAAGTGTTCCACAAATTCAACACTGCAGAAACTGAACTCTTAATTATAGCTGAGTTTAATTTGGAATGCATTATAAACCATTATGACCTCAGGAGTCAGAGCTTCTTCTGCCTTTCAGAAGACCCTCTATTCCTTCATTTTTTGTCCTGGAAAACACCCTCTGTCAAAGTAAATTTGATCACAGTTTGTTTGGGTTTAACCATTGTTTTAATCTCCTATTATCTACCCTGCAACATTCCTTTTAGGCAGGGTTTAAAGATGTTCTGTTTTAATTTAGAGTAGAGCTGCAATTTAAGCCTAAGCATCTAAACCATTACTTCTGTTTAATGTGATGTTTGATCTGCTGTTAACAGCAAAATAAAATGTTCTTAGGAGATATTCTTCTAGCTAGACCTCACCATCACTTGCTTGATACATTTGACATATAATTTTAAATTTTACTTATTAGGATCTCTACATTAAACACAGCACTTTTCTCTGCATAGGAGAATTCTGGATTGCAGCCCCAGAGATTTCATTTGTGTTCTGAATTCCAAATGAACCTGGAGCTTGCATGAGTCAGTTCCTTTGCGTTTTTATCTGTAAATGGATGAGTCACAGATCTTTGTGGGCTTTGTTTATTTGGCTGGTGAGACCTTTGGGACGCTGACCTTGCTATCTGCCCCTCACCCAACACAGGGACGCTCTAATCTCACCTGGAGCTTCCAGCTGCAGCTGGAATTTCAGCAGTAGCTGTTCCAGGGCTGTTCCATTCAGCCCAGGAACTGGTTGCCCTCAGAAGGAAGAGATTTCAAAAGCCCAGATTAACCCCCTAATCCTCGTGCACGGCTGGGGAAGGTGGGAGTGCTGAGCAATCCTTACAAACAGTAATTTTTGTGGAGGAGGAATGTAAGGTGGACATCCTAGAGCACCATTCTGTCATGGCAAAGCCACTAATTTATCAGTGAAAAGTCAAAATATGAAAGATCCTTCTGATCTTTCACAATGCCAGTGTTTTAAACCAGGATCTCTGGCTGTTCAGATCTCCCCAGCTGCCTTCCTACCCTTCCCTTTTGAGTCAGGAGATATTTGCCACTTGCTGCTTTCTGCTGTAAGGATTTGGTGGTTAAAATAACCCCTCTAAGATTTTAAGAGCACCTAACAATAATTTAAAATAAAGCAGACCCCAGATTTATTTTTAAAGCTGAAGTAATTGAGCATAATTCTGTTGAAGCATCATCATTACGATTGCTCTTAGTGATAAAAGGTGGAGGAAGTGCAACAGTTCTAAATTGCTTTTCACTGATTCACTGTTTACTGAATCAATAAGTTGCTGATCAAGACACTCATTACCTTCTGTGTGCAGAGAGAACAGGTTTAAGTCTGAGAAGATTTTAGCTGGTTATTTAAAGAACTGGTAGGACTCACACACCACGAGCCACGGGTCTGTGACTGTCCCACGTTACGTTTTTCTTCAGCAGAATTCTTTGTGCAGAAGCAAAGTTTGCAAAGGGCAAGCCCAGAAATGAAGGGTTGGGGGAGCATCCAGCAGAAAATGAGATGTCTCTGCCCAAAGGGTTGTCCTGAACCCCTCTCGCACCCACACTGTTGGGGTTAGAAGTTCCCTGGACAGCTCTGTCTCTGCACATCTACAGGATGTAGACGCTCAAGGGCCACGCCCAGAGCCCAAAAACTTGATAAATCCCTCAAACTCCCCAGAAAACTTTGGATCTGAGGGTGTTCTGGAAGTTTCACCTCTGAAGTACAAGGGGGGATATCTCATCTGTGCTTCCTTGCTGTAGGGATACCCAGCACCAAGCCCGGGAGGGGGAAGAAGGGAATGGCACAGATAAATCCCCCAGTACTTGCCAGTACTTGCCTGTATGTCCATTATTTTCTACATTCCACTTTGAAGACCCCTTCCCATCATATCCCTCAAAGGTCAGAGGCTTGAGGCTCCTGTCATAAACGACGTCTCTGGTGACAATGTTGATGGGGGACTGCCTGTCCCCTTTGCAGGCAGGATCTGTCAGGTGCCACTGGTGAGGATCTGTGGCAGGGGGAAGGAAACAATTGTTTTCTGTAGACAGCAAATCCCTCACAAAGCCAAACCACCCAACCAACACACTCTTGCTTGGGAAACTGGAGGTATCAGGGGGGATCTCCTCTGGAGCTTGTTTTGGAGTTATTTTTATATTTGTAGCGTTGGAACAAAATGAACAGTTACCACCACCACTGGTATCTTCCAAAAACCCTCCCCCAGGTATCCTGTTTGTGCACATAAAGCATCAAGTGCTGAGAATTTTTGCATTGTTTCTCTCCAGAGCCCCTTTGCTAAATGGAAGGATCACGAATGTGACTGGGAAAGTCACTGGGCCAGCAGTACCTTCACAGTCCGGGTGTTCACACTTCTGGGACCGGTAACACCAGTGGCTCCCCACTGAAGAAGAGGAAATAAAAACAGCAGGTGTTCAAAATCTGCACAAATTGTCCCCCCAAAATCAGCAGTGAAATGGATCCTCAGGGAGTGATGACTGGACACAGGTTTTTGAGAACTTCTTGGGGTCTTCTGCCTGATTTTATTAGGGTAAAATGTTTAATTTCTTAAATATCTAACCAAGGGTGGCTTCTGGAGGCAAAAGCTCCACATTTGAATTCACGTGGTGTTAAAATAAATTCCCTTTATCGGTTCTGCTCTTGCCAACCTTTCATTGACTTGTAAATTCCCTTATGCAAGAGGACTTACTTTACTCTGTTCCAGGAACTATCTGAAAGGTTACTTGGTGCAATAGGGAATTTTAAGAGGTGAAGGATCTCTCTTCCTGGAAGATCTGAAGGATCTAACCCAGCTGTAATCCATCCCACAGAGATGGCTGCGAATTTTTTCAATACAACATCTTAATTTTAACTTTTTCTTTGCCAGAAGAAATGCAAAGTTCAGAGGAAAAGAGCTGGTTTAACTGAGGTATGTGTTGATCTGGTCAGGAAAGTAGGGACTGGTTTGGTTGTCACAGGTTCCTTCAGTGGCTCTTTATGACAGTTCTAAACCTCAAAAGGCCTTGGACAGGAATAGTTCTCTTACTGAGAACTCAACTACTGAGCTTGAATCCATAACAATTCAAAACCTCTTATAATCATGATTAATACTAGAGCTCCTGTTTTCTCATGACTAGTAAATTATAGACAGTTTAGGAAATGGCAAATCAATTTTAAGGATTATTGTGGATGGGTCCTGTCATTAAATTGGTAATTACCAGAATCTGTAATTTATAACACACCTGCTGGAAGTCTCATCATGGCTTTTACCACCTTTATCTTGATATCAGCAGCAGAGCAATACATCCATCCAGTAAGGATTTAGAAGTTATAAATAGAGCCCTGACATAAAAGGTGGGTAAGTATAACCCAGAGGGAGACTTGGACAAGCTTTTGGCAATTAATATAACCTTGAAAAAAAAAAAAAGAGAGTTCCAGTTTTTCTTTCACAGAACCTAAATTTATGCTGAAAACTACAAATGATGTTGACTCCACTTTCTGGTTTAGCAAGTGTTTAGTAACGCTGAGAGGAAAAGTAAACAATGCTGTTGGTTTTTGTTGGAAGAACCGAAGGGATTTCTGTGTTGTTGTTCCATTGATGTCTTTCAATTATCCAAAAAAATTCCCATTTGACGAGGTTTTGTTTTTTGACAGCTTTCTAACCCTACACCAAATTTCACTTTCTGAAATTGCTGGTGGCATTTTTTGCAGGTCTGGTGTGCACCAAGCAGTGGCCTGAGCTCCAGCTGAGCTTTCCTCACCCTTCACCAGGGCACAGCAGAACCGGGAGCTCCGGGATGTCACCGAGCACCTTAATCGATATTCTGATCAGTGAGTGCCCCAAGAATGCCAGGTGAGGAGACCTTCACGTGCCTGCTCATGTCCCATGAGGCAGTGTTTGAATGACTCCAGGAATATTTTTGGCAACTCGGTGCTCAGCCTGTGCTTTAACAGTTCCACACTGGGGTTGGGATTTTCTTGGCAATTTACACACAGATGAACCTTTAGGAGAAAGAAAGCAGCGATAACCTGGACAAGAGGGGACAGCCACCTGCAAAGATTTGCTCTCCAAGCCTCTGGGAGGTGAGTTAAGGCAGAGAGGGGAGTTGCCAGGTGAGAACTCAAGGCTGGGGGAGGAATCCCGGGCTGTTTACCCTGAACTCCGGGAACAAGCTCTGCTCTGGGTTTGCACAACGGGAGGTGAGCAGGGCTCAGTCATCAGAGCTCTGCTGTGAAGAAAATCCAATTTTCCAGTCAATAGGATTCACAACTGGGAGTAAGTGCAGCGAGGTCCTTGGGGATAAGGTTGTGGGGCTTCCAAACCGTGGCTGCAGAATCACAACAATCAAAGACAACCCCAGGAGACACCGAGGGAAGGGGAAGATCACCAGATCATGCTGTCAGTGGTCCTGAATCAGTGCCTCTGTCCCATGGAAGTGGCTTGTGGAGCCTTTCACTGCTGAGTCCACATCCCACCCTTCTCAAACAAAGCAATCCCTGACTTTTTACTGCCTGAGCAGGTGCTCGGCAGGGTCTCCCAAATAAACCTGTGGGTTTCAATCACCTCTGAGTGATGCCTGTGAGCAGACTGAAAGTCTTTCAGCCACGGCATAGAGATGAAGGGGAGAAAAAGACTTTACAAATAACATGAAATTTAAAAAATCCATCCCTCAGTGGCTACAGCTGCCTCACATCCAGCACTCAGGAGTGTTCATCCCTTCTTCTGTTGAATTCTTACAGGTAGTGTCTGAGTTTTGCAAGAGTTCCAGGGAATTCCTGATGTCTATGAACAAAGTCAGAATCTGTGTTTTCTATCAAGTCCTTATCTCGTTTGTGGTTTAGACAGGTGGATGGTATCAGTGAAGGAGAACAGGATATAAATTCAGCATTTCATAAGAAAAAGGTCCTTAAAGCTGTTAAACCTTAAACAATGACCTAATTAAACATTCCAGAATGCCTGAGCAAACAGTGAATTAATGTTTATTGTGAATTAGAGACCTTTTTTGGTTGGCAGCAATGGAACATTGGAGAACAGGATCTTTTGTGTAGATACTGCTCAGAAGGAACCTGAGTCACTTACAAGGAAAATTTGCCTTTGGATTTTATCTGTCAGGTGTGATTCCTCCCTGCGTAGGGACCTTGCATTACAATGGCTCTTTTTTCCCCTGAGCTTTAGGGCTTTATTTCTGAAGCAAGAAGGAAAGGTACTTGTCACATCCAGTCAGTTGTCTGTGGTCTCAGGCATGATTAGGCCCTAAGATATGTTGTCCAGTGGAGTCTTAATTGTCTGAGTGGCTCCTGCCGCTTCCCTTAGGAGGCTGTTCCACAGTCTATGAGCCTTCACCGTCAGGAAATGTTTCCTGTGGAATAGCTTACATTTTCCACTTGCTTATCTGCATCCCTTCACTCCTAGAAACATCACTGAACCACCCTAAACAATTCTTTTCCCTCCCTGGTGTTTACAGCACTCAAATAGTTCCCTGCTAATCTGCAGTTCCTGTTCTTGCTTCATCCATCCCTTGTCCCGTCTCTTGGCAACTGTTGCCTTCACCTTCCCACCGTTTCAACTTCCAAATCCTTCATCCCCCTTCCTCTGACCCCCCCTTTCTTACAGGGTCTGGGTGCCTGTCAGATCCCACCCTGCCCTCCCCTCACCTGACTGCTCTTTCAATCAAACCTCAGCTCACCCGGTTTCCTTCCTATCATTTATTTTATTGCCTGGAAAAACGCAGCAGAAAGTGGGTCTTTCAGTATTTTAATGGGTTTTTTTTCTGTTTCTTTGTTTTTATAGCTGAGGTGCTGAAATAATTGCACTGAGATATAGATATAGATATAGTTATATATATATATATACACACCTGGACCTACAGTTCCTGTATTATCACCTATATCTTGCTTTTACCTCGTGTTATGAGTCCTTGATTTACGTAGTGATGTACCACACCACAGGTGTCACACTGGCTTTACAGGTTTAATTTAGAGTGGGGCTGAATTGTGGTGAAGGCCTCCTCTTCCTCCCCAGAGTTCAGGACAGTTAAATTTAGGGAGTCTCTCCTGGCAAGCGAGCAATCCTACTTATCTCTGTTTCTTCCTCGTCAAACTTACAACTGCTTTCCTGACCAGAGCCGTTTCTTGGCGCAGGGAACAAGCTGGAAAACAATACAATTACGTATTGTTTTCGTTTCATTGTAAACGTTTTCAATTGTTTTCAGCTATCGGGCCTCGTTTGGAAGCTCGAGGCAGAAAATTCCCCCAGTTGAGAACTCCCCCTCCTGTCCGCTCGGACAGCGCTGCTGGCCGGGAGCCAGGCTGGGAGCAGCTGCCAAGCCGCTATTGTGTGATCTAGGAAAAGACCCTTAAGCTCTTTGGACCACGCTCAGACTGCCTGAATTCCATAAAAGTTCCTAAATCTACTTTGTCCTACTTGTTGCCTGCTTTGCTGCCCTACTTGGAGCTGCAGAGCCTTGGAAGGCCAATCCCTGGGCCAGTGGCGTGGGACAGGTGTGTTCTGCGGGCTCAGAATGCCCTCTTCACTTGTTCACACGCACAGAGGAGTCACTAAAACAGGTTTTGTCCCTCTGACAGAGTGGCTGAAAATCATTAATTTTACATTTGACAGATACCTTTCTTAACTGTGTTTAATCTCTGGAAGTGTAAATGACTTTTATGCCGCGAGCAGCCTGAAGCAGTGGGACAGTAAGAATATCCTGGGCTGCTTTTTAGCTCAAATCCCTTCTCCCTTTCACTGACTGACTCCTTTGTTTGTGCCTTTTAGCCTCCTGTCACCCTTTCAGCCACAGTCCTGGCTGACCATTCCCTGTTTTTTGGGACACACGGATCAGTGCTCCCTGTCAGAGAGCCCAGCCTGCCCTCGGGGCCAGAGCTCTCCTTACTGCTCTCTAATCCATCCCCAAATCTGCTGTCACCTTCGCAGCAATTTCCATGAAAGTGGCAAAAGCTGGTTTTGCACGTGATGTATTTTTGGCTTTGGTTTGTGTCGAGCTCATCCTAATTTTAGCTGGCTTTGTAAAACTTACTATTTTTAGTACAAAAGACAAAACAACTTAAAAAGCGATTGTTATCGAAGCCTGTCTTTGTAATTAATGAGATATGCTGAGCACAAACTCAGCATGTATAGATAAGCCTATTTATACATTCTTAAGTATTGCACATCCTCAGGAAGCCCCAATCAGCCACTTTGACAGACAAAATCAGTTCCAAAGGTTTGCTCCTCAGTTTGTGTGTCCTAACCACGTAAAAACAAGTGTTTGTGATGGTCCATCGCCCTTCTGCTCACTTTTACCTGGAATTTTGTTTTTCATAATGATAATACACCTTCATGCATGTGCATTCCAGGGTAGCTCAAGGGGATTCAGCCTTCAAAATGAGCTTTATTGTAGTGGTGAAAGATTACAAGTCTCCACATCTGATTGGAGCCCAGTGTTTATAATTTGCACACGTACACATAAATCACATGTGCACATAAATCACTGGCTCAGTGAGGTCTCTGTGACACACATAAGGAAAAACCCAGAGAGTGAAGGGTTCTAACTATGCCTTATTAACATCTGCAAACGACTTCCTTTGTGTCAGAGCCAGGAGAACGTTTTTAGCTGTGACCTGTGGTACTGGTGTAGCCTCTGTCATAGATCTGTGTCCTCGTAAATGTGCTGTAGAAGCTGCTCTTTAACCAAAAAAATGAGTATCCAGGGCTAAGGTGACTTGCCCCTGTGAGGGATTTTGCCTTGCTCTGTTGAATAAAAATACAATTTGGAATATTTTTTAAAGTATTTTTAAATTGAATTCAAACAAATGCCTTTTATGGCTTTACCGTCCTTTTGCAGCCTTTTATGCTGAGTTTAGGATGACTGATCTCAGGGCTAAAAATATAACTAAAAATCTAATAACAGGCCATTAGATATATTCTGCAACGTAACAAAGCATCTCCTGCAGTGCCAAAAACAGGGGGAAAAAAGCCTGTTCCTGTGGAGACAGACACTGGAGTTTGCAGCATGTCCTGGACACCCAAAGGCTCGTGCTGGTTATTTGGGCAGCTGAGAGAAAAGTGTCTCACAGCAGCACCTGTCTCTGGAAGTGCTTTTCTGACTCCAATCTTCAGCATCTCAGTGTAAGAGCCAGGAGAAAACGTGGCTCCAGTTTTCCTAAGACTCCCGGTGCCCAGCTGGCAGCATAAAAGGGGTGTTCCAGTCCTTATGCTGATGTTTTTGCTGCAGGAGGAAGGAGAGGATTTCTTAAGCTGAGGTCATGTCACTTGTCACCCGGGTGTGGCTGCTGTGAGGGGCTCCTGCCCTGCTCCTGTCCTTCTCCCAGAGCTGAAGGGCAGCAGGACAGAGCCCTGGGATCTGGGATGCTGGTGGAGGAGGAGATGATGCAGCACACTGCAGTTCTCATGAGCTCAGCCCTGGCATGTTCACACAGATTGATGAGTCTGGAGCGTTCTGCTGCTCCTCAGGCTGAGCCCTGAACGCTGCATTAGTGATGTGACTGTGTCCCTGGAGAGCTGCCCACTCCTGCTGTGGCACCACGGGCTGCAGGGCAGGGAGCAGTGAGGTTGGACTGGCAGCTGGGATGCCCTTGGATGCATCAGCTGAGGAAAAAACCTGCCTGCTCAGGAGCCTGGATGGCCACTGAGGGATCTCATATCCATGTGCTGCCTTGGGCACAGCACGGATCAAACAAAGCAGGATTCACCCTCGTGGGAGGGTGGGGGCAGTGTGGGAGCTGTGGGGACAGTGTGGGAGCTGTGGGGGCAGTGTGGCAGCACACATCCTTTCTGACTCCATGCAGATTGCTGGGAAGGGGCTCAAGGCACTCCTGCTCTGACACAAAGTCACCCAGGTGTGCCACACAGATATAGCTTGATGTCACACCTGTCAGGCTGTGAGAGATCCCATATGTGACTCTCATACTGTCTTGTAACTGGTTTTGGGATCCTGCCAGTGACACACAGGGTTGTTCTCTGCCTGCTGGGCTCGGTTCTCTGCCCCCCCAAAATGAAGCAGTGGGAATCCCTTGCTCTGGGTGCACACCCTGTGCATCCTGACAAACATGAGCACTTATCTCTCGCACCCAGGGCAGCTGACCACGAGGACAATCCTCAGGTAAACCTTTACAACTGTTGTGGCAGCTTGAAAGTTGCCAGGGAGGAAGAGAGGAAAGCCCTAAGCATAAAGACCCTTAGCTGAGATCAGAAGTCTGTCTGCACTGAGATAGTCGAGCATTTGGGATAATGTCAGTGATGTCATCTGTATTTACTCGTGCTGGGCTAGTGGTGGAGAGAGGGAAATTCAGGCAATCCATACCTCCTAAAGCACCTGTGGATCACTGCCTAGAGCAGCTATGACTCACTGCCTTTTCTCTCTGTTCCAGGTCTTACACTGCAGTTATTGATAATACTCTTCTTTCTTAATCAACTGAAAATGCAGCTTTTCATCCCAGAGTGTGTCTTAAGTGCATCCCGACTTTGCCAACCCTCCAATGGAGCTGGGATCCAACCACAAATGTGTGTGCAGTCCACAGCATTAGAACTGGAAAGGGAAGAAGTTACAGCATCCCTTTTGGTGCTGTTTATGGGGCTCTCGGGTATCTCTTGTACGGGAATGGCCCTGAGGAAGCCCCAGAGTGAGGGCTGAGCTGACGTCAATGCCCGCATGGTTATGTAAATTTTATGTTCCTCGAAGTTAAAACTATGTAAGCAGAAATATAGAAAATTGGAGGAATCATGTTCTATCAGGCAACAATCTGTTGGAGCACCAGAGCATGGACTGTGGGTGATTGTCTCCTCATGGCTGAGCCCTGGCCTGTGATAAAGCAAAAGGTTAAAATGTGCTGGGGTTCATTCCATTCCTCTTAAAGAAAATTATTTTCAGCAACACCTGGGGCTTGCTCTAACCCCACCTGAAAGCTGCTGGATGGGGGTATATTCCTGCTCTCTGAATGGCCCTAGAGTGAATCCACCATTAATAAAACCTCTCTCAAATACCTGGAACGCTCCTGCTGGAAATAGCAGACCTTTGGACGCCCTTCTGCCCAACAGCAGCACCAGAGGATCCCTGGGCTCTCAAAGGAGTCAAACCAGCCATCTGAGGTGCATCAGTGCAGCTGCTGAAGGAATTTACTGCGTAAGTCAGTGGATGGGAGGCTGGACAGAGCCTTAAGGGAGATGGTTCCCCTTCCAGGTGGGTGCACCGATGTCCCACAGTTTCCCTCCTGTAGAACAGGGATAACCAACTGTCCTTCCTCACGGAACCCTGGAAGGACCAGTGGCAGTAATTTTAAAACCCAGGTGCTCTGATATTAAGACAGGTCAAGGCTGAAAGCAGTTTGAAAGATTAGCAATCAGTCATTTGGCCGTTGAAGTGTGGGGAGTGATGAGCTGGCCAGATTAGAACAGCCCAGGTGGAGGGGGGTTAAATGAGCTGGGCAGGGGATCTCCCTCAAGCTCCTTCTGAAAAGGGGTGAGATGGAAAGGGATTGCTTGTTTTTTTAAAAAAATACCTTCTGAGTATGACAAGAAGTAATTGATTCTCAGAAGCTGAGGGTTCTTGAAATGTGCAGCCCTTTTGACTTAGCATAATGTAACCCCTGAAGCTGCTGCTTCAGGAAAAGTTTGGAAAAGAAGGTGGAGGGCATGGCAGGTTTCTTTTGTGCTGATAACTGTGTAGTTTGGCTCTGCACTTGGGGAAAAAAGCAGAATTAATCAGGATTAGGGGACAAAAACACCCACAAAATGTTATATGCATCCCCTATATTATTTCCATCTGCTAATTATTAACACCAATGTAATAAAACCACAAAGGTTTTCTACATAGTCATTCAAGTTTCCATAACACATCCCTCAACAGAGCAGTAAATTTAGCAAAGTGTTAATCAGTCAGTAATCAATACCAGGCAAACACTGGTTGTAGACTTTGTAAAAGCAAAGGCTCTTTGTGTTTGTGCTTCCCTGTCCCACGGGTGGGAACCCCTGGAGAGAGAACACCAAAGAAACGGGGACCAGAGAGGAGGGAAGGGATCGGGACTGTCAGGTAAGAGCCTGGAAAAGGCAAGTTACTGAGTCATAGGAGGGTATTTAGGAACAGAGAAGGAAAAGAAGGGAAACCCCCTCAGTTTCCCCGGGAGGCACTTTGTGAGCAGCTCTTGTTGCCTGAGGCGTCTGAACCTTGATCTGCTGTAAAACCATCTCTCTTTAAGCGACACTGGTGCAGCGTTTCCCCCTGACACCTCTGATAACACCGCAGCTCTCCTTCCCTCACTGCACTCTGGGCTAGTTTAGTGCAAACAATAGACCCTTCTTGGCTTTGGAGGGTTTGATTTTGAGGCTGTGTGTGCACAGGAAAGGGGATTGGTTCGATGTCGCAGCGTTGCTGATTAAATTGAAGCGTTAAAATGCCTTCTGCATTTTCCAATACTAATTATAGATGGCTGTTTAATCGAGCCAGGGTAAGTGCACAGTGTACTTATAGTGCCCAGGGAGCAAAAATAGATGGGGCTGCTGGGCTGATGCAGCAAAGACATATTGTTCACTCTCTCTCAGCAGAATTTCACCTTATATCACAAACAGCAAAGCAATAGGAGTGGAAAACTAAAACAAGCTATTTGCTTTAAGTTTTAACAAGTTTTACAGGTAAAGAAATTACTCTTTGATATAAGTGCACAAATATAATTAACTGTAGAGATCAAGTCAAACCTCATTGATTTTTCTTAGAAGAGGAAGGCAGATAGAATCTCCAAAGGTGAAAAAAAAACCCCAACCCAAAAGCACTCACTCATTCATTCATTCATGAGAAAAATCTATGCTTGATATTTTAGCACAAATAATAAATCCCATAGAAATAAATAAATCATTGTTCATTTACCACATGGAAGAATCAGAGAGCCTGTGCTGCGTGTCCTGACACTCAGAAGCAAATCAGAAATCAGAGTAACCTTAACAGGGGGTTAGAAAGAGCAGGCAAGGACTTACCTACTGCGTCTGTCCTGAGAATGTGCAGAGAGAACAGAGCAAGGAACAGCAATTCCATTCTCTGTTTTAAACAGGCTCAGTGTTGGGACCAGAATTGATTAGACTCCTCAGGATGTGATCATATTTCTGCTCTCAGTTTTATACTGGAGTAAGTACTCCAGGACAGACCTGAAAGCCATAGCAGGAAGGTGAACTCCTCCCCTTTGTAATTTCTCCAGATTTACCCCGCTCCTGATTTGCCTGAATTTATTCATTCCCCAAAATGAATGGCAAAGGGAATGAGGCTCTTTGGCACTGAGCCTTCAGTGAATAGCTGAGGCTTTGCAACCTGTGCCTGTTTAGTGACCTCTCACTGAAATGCTATGTTTTTATTTAGTGCTGATTTTTTCCTGACAGCCCCCATGACATTTGATTAACGTGTGAGTGTTAAGGTTGGTGTTCTCTTTAAAAAAAAACTGTGAAGGAAACAAAGCCCCAACTCCCCCCATCCCTACCCCACAACCCTCAGGACTGCAGGAGATTAGTGGGACTGGAAAATGGGAATTCCGTGTGCAGTGACAGGAAATGTTTAATAGGTGACATGCAACACCTTACTTACGTAATTAAGGAATTATACTGGTTTTAATAATCCTTTTTCTTAGCTTTCTGCTTCTGCTGCTATAGTATAATATTTACAGATTTTCTTTCTGTCCCCTTTCCTATCTGATTTTTTTAATTCCATGTGCCTGGTTCAGTGGCAGCTCAGACTTTTCGTTCAACAAACAGAAAAGCGACACAACTGCTTTTTGCTCTGTTACAGACACGGTGTCACCTTTTAATTTGGGGTCGGATTTTGATACAGCTGAGGAAAACAAATGAGGGAGTGAAACAACTTCTTCCCGTTCCCCAGAGGCTTCTCTGTCCACGCTGGGTTGGGTGGGAGAAGAACAGGATGACCCAGTGCTGCTCCACGGAGGGGAGGATGGAGTGAAGTGATGCTCTGCCAGCAGATCTGAGTGTGCAGAGTCAGCCAGCAGGGGCTGAATTAAAAAACAAGGAGCCAAGAAAGTGCTTTTTGCCTTCCCCAAGAGCTGCAGCTCCCAGGGCAAGGCTGTGCTGTCAGCAGAAGGGTCGCAGGGGCTCGGGACCTGCAGTAACACCGGGACAGCTGACTCACGAGCAGCTCTTTTATTCATAAAAAAACCGGCTATAAATAACCCCCCAACAATGAAGAGCTGCTGGGTAGTGTTTTTCCATCCTGCTCTAGGCAGTTGGAGCCTGCACAGAGGATGATGTGCCTAGCACATGGGGATAAGATAAATAGTTGCTGCAGTGACAAGAACAATAAGGGAATTAGTGGCATTTTTTCACTTCCGAGCGCGCGGTCCCGGCGGGGCTCGGGGAGCAAGGTGCGTTCTGAGCACGTAGGGCAGGGAGGGGGCAGGTGCTGGCAGCCTTCAAGGGCATCCACGAGCCACTTCACTCCTGGGCTCCTCTCTTTCCTGGGGATGGTCCTCAGTGAGGACCTGAAAGGACCCTCTCATGGATTTCTTTCACTCTGTTTCTGTTTCGCTCTCTGAGAGCAAAAAGCCTGCTGGAAACTCTCTGTTCAGGACTGAAAAACAGGGTTAGAAATTTTGATCTTAAATATCAGGATTCTTGGCTTGTTTCTTTTTCTTTTTTTTTTTTCCTTTCTAAGCCTCTCAGCCTATCACTACTAAATTGCTAATAAATTGCACTGCAATCATATCAGCTAAGCTTTTATTTGTGCTAGAAAGTAAAGGCACGCTCAGGGAAAGACATTCCCTCTCCTTATAAAACCTGTAATCTAAATAAGCAGGGCAGACATCAGGTGATCCCCTTATTTTTCTCTAAGGAAACTCACCTGGCATGTGCTTGGTTATCAGTTCTCCATGGCACCGCTGCTCCTCGGGATAATTTCGAAAGGAATTGCTCTGTGGGTGGGTTTTGGACTTTGAACATAAAGATATGTGAGGATCTTGGTCGGAGAAGGTGAGAGTCAAAGCTGAGCAGGGAGGTGACAGCAGAACACTGAACTGCAGGCTGGTTTTTTCCTGGCAGAATTATTGCAGTTGTGTCCTTAGCTACAGGGGAGGTGGGAACACCAAAACCACTGAAAATCGCATTTATTTTGTTGCCTTGAGGGTCACAGCAACAAAGGCTTTGGAGATGTTCCCCCAGCCTGGGTCCTGAACCATGGGGAGCCTGGGGGGGATGTGGTGGTTAATGAGGCTTTCATGAGTCAAATGATGCCTCCATGCGCTGAGGGGAGGGAGCCCAGAGCTGTCCCCAGCCTTCCAGCTGAGGGGCTGCACATCGCATGTCCCAGCAGGAGGGATGAGGGCTGGCTGGGGCTGAACCCACGGCACAAAGGCATCAGAGACCCAAAATCCAGGCTGTGGCTCAGCTCTGTGGGCTGGGGGCTGAGCTGTTGCTCTCAGAAGGAAGCTCTGAGGGTTGTGAGGGTCAGACTGGCCTGGGTCCAAACCCCGGTCACAAATGAGCCAGGAGGAACTGAACCTGGGATGGGAGAGGGAAGAGGCTTCAAACACAGATGGGTTTCACGACTGGGAACCCCACCCTGTGTGTGAGAAAACGCGCTGAGTGCTCCTCATTTACTCGTGTGTTGCCATTTTCTTGGTTACAATTCCCACAGCGCTGCACAGGAAATCTGGAACTTCACAGCTCGTGGTGAACCACAGTCATCAGGCCTTCATCTTCCACGAGGAACGTGGGCTGGCTCTGATCCTCCCTGAGGAACAGGTACAAGGTCGTTTCCATGGAACATTCAGGAGTGGGGTTAAGGTGTTTTCTGCCTTCTTCACATCTAAACCATCAGTGGAAGGCTCTGCTTGCCACGCACCTGGTTTGAGGTATTTATTCCTGCTTGTTGCCTTTGAGACAGGTCAATTCAAGTTCCCCAAAAGGTGAAAATACCAGTTCTGGCATCTCAGAGAGGCGTCCTGGCTCTGCATAAAGTGGGGAAGGGTCTGTTTTGGGGAGTGTCCTTGCAGCAAACCATCCTTGCCAGTGTTTTGTTGGTAACATGCTGCTGAGCAGCACTCAGAGACTTCAAGCCTGATGATTGTCTTCACTTCATGTGCCTGCTGAGGGCCCTGAAACAGAGCTGGGATGTTGGGTAACTCCAAACTCCTCAAAGAGAGAGGGCGGGGGAGGAGCAGAGCTCTCTGTTTCCAAAACATCTCAGAAAAATCTTGGAAGGAGATCATACACCCCATTTGTGCCTTCCTCTCCAAAAAGGAAGACTTTAATCTGCATAAATTAAAACATAAACTGGATAAATAGGCTCCTGATTTGTGTGCCTCCCCTTGGTGACTGTTTCTTCTCTGCAGGCCCTGTGGTGCCCGCTGGCAGAGTGGGCAGGTGGATGTTCTGGTCCCACAGAAGGTCATGGCAGTGAACTCTGGATCCAGGGGTGGCTCTCCCTCCATGCTCAGCTCAGCCATTTTTTGGCTCAGGAAGGGTTTTGTCTGTTGTGAAAGGGCAGAGCTGGAGTGCAGGGGCAACTGGGAGAAAGCTGAACCATTGGCTTTCCCAACAAACAAGGTCTGGAGTGTCAGGAACGAGTAGGAATTGGCTGTGAGTTCAGGGAGAACGTGGCAGGGAAGAAACCAGGACAGTGGAATCCCCTCATCCTTGCAGTGCCTGGTCTGTCCTGTGTGTACAATGTGTGTCCATGACCTTGCAGGTGACACCAACCCACCTGCAGCTCACCTTTTGTGGGATTCTTGTTTTCATCACGTGGACGCAGCTTTTTCTCCCGTGGTTTCAGGCACAGCTCAGTTCCTCAGGGTGCTGTCAGCACAAAGGACACTTGGTTGCTCTGCATCACACCCAGGTAAGGGTGTCTGTTGTCCAAGGGTTACTGAGCAGAGCTGGGACTCAGATCCTGGACAGAATTCCCTGCTTTAAGGAACGTCCCAGCTGGGGCTTGTCCTGAGGGCAGTTCTGAGACTGTGAGCTCAGCGGGGTGAAGATGGATTTTCCACAACAGCCACTTGAATCATCACTAAAACTTCAGCCTGAAGCTTCTGGTGTCTCTTTCTCCGTCTCTTCAACGTGTTCAGTGATTATTTCCTTCTCCACAGGCCCAGTCATCAGGTAATTATTATTGAACTTTGAGATTCTCTACAAAATAAACCCACTTCCAAACACGTGACACGTATCAAAACAACACCAATTCAGACATTCAGATAAAGAAATATAAAACCAATGATAGAGCTAAAAGGAAAACAACTGTAAACTAAAAAATGCTGTAGAAGGCAAGGTCTAGATAAATCTGAATTAAAGGCTGCCAACAGCAGGGTACAGCCAGTGTTTGAGGTGTCAGCCTGAGAGACTGCAGATTAGATTGAGCTCTCTGGACCTCTGAGGGATCTTAAACAAATAATGTGATTGCTCTTTTCCCGTTTATGGGACGTAGATAACAGCCTTTCCTCACAGGGGTAGGGTGAGGTAAGTCCAAGGAAAATCGCCCACTTCCCGCAATGTGGGGGCAGAAAAACGCCCTTGAGCTGAGGTTGGGACACGCAGAGCTTCGGCTGGGTGGCAGCTCTGTCTCTGGGATTTCAATTCAGAGCAGTTTTCACCTGGTTTTGAGAGCTCCAGCTGCATCCCAGAGGGTTGCAATGCCCAAACCTGGGGGTTTTCTGCAAGTTAAAGCCCACTAAAAAACAAGCAGTTGCCACACTAATATCATCTCCCTTAATCTAGCAGCATTATGCTAATTTTTCTGTAATTCTATTAGGGAAATAAGATTACAAAGCTTTTGTGAAGAGCTGTTTATGCTACTCGATATTATTTTAATTACGCTCCTATCTCATCTCGTTTAGTGCTTAAGTGCTTGAACGCCGGATTTTTCAAATTAGAGCCATTTCAAGGAGCGTTTTCAGGAATATCTGCAGCGTTTCAGATTATTGAAAGGGTTTGCTGACTCGAGGCGTTGGCACCGATGGGGTGACAGGAATAGTGGAGCCCTTGTTGAGCTGCAACCTCACACCAGAGGTGTGGCTGACAGGGAGGGTTCCAGGATGCACAAGGGATGGGTTATCTGGGACACTGGGAGAAGGATATTTTATAGGATGTTAAGATATTATCCACAGGCTCCATTCATCAATTTGCAGCCCTTATTTCCTATGTAATCATTCTGTGCATTGCTGTGGGACCACCTGGAACACTTAAAGCATTTCTAGCACATAATTATTGTGTGCTGATTGCACACTAACCTGAACAGACTTTCATGCACTTCAACAGGAAAAAAGAAGCCCTAGGGTTTTCCTTCTCAAGCTCCCCCATTTTAGCCTGAATTTCTGGTGTTGTGAATTTGGCAGAGCTGTCAGAGCTCAGGGGTTCCCAGCTCCAGAGCAATGATCAGATGTCAGTGCTGAATGTGGAAAGCCCATGAACTCAGCTGAGCTGCCTGGCAATATCCCAGGATAAAATTGCCACTAATGGAAATTAATCCTTTGTTAGGATAACAGTGAGAAATGAATTAAATCAGAGTAAATTTGGACATAACATGGCTTTACCTGGGTAACTGTGCTGCTCACCTGAACTGCTCTGCTGTTTAAAATCTCCCTGTTCCCACTGAACCCTGTATTTTGTTCCAGCAGTGCCCTCTGCTGAGAGCATGGAATGTGTGTCCCAAAGGCTTTTTTCTCCAAGGCTCAAGCATTTTAAATCTAGAGCTCAAAAATCACTTGCCTTTAAAAAGGTAGAGAAAGAACAGATATCGTGATATTGGTGTTGGTTTATTAATGTGCAGGTCATACCCTAAATAAACACAAAATATCCTACATTGAGCAGGAGTTATGATGCCTGCTGTTGTTTAGCTACGTTGCCATCCAAGAATTAAGGTGGGAAAATGGCATTTTCCTAACTGCTTAGGCAGGAGCTGGGGGCCAGGTTGGTGACACAACACTGATGTTCTTATTTCAGCTCCATCAGTCACACACTCCCCCCTCCCAACCCACAAAACTCTGCTCTCCCTTTCCTGCCTCTCTAATCCTTTATCATCTAATTTATCTGCGAGTTAAAGCTGAACCCACATTAATTCCATTTTAGGCTATCCTTAAAGAATTTTGAACTCCCGATGTGATCACTCATCCTCTCAAGATGTGGCCAGATTTTGCTGCTGGCAGAGGTTGTTTGCAGCAGCTCATCCGCGCGGCAGCAAATGTGTTTTCCAGTTTGGGCTGTCCTGGCAACTCGACGTTAATTGGCGATGCCCTGAGGTGGCAACCCAAATATTTAAAAGCACAGGTGGTTAAAGTTTAATCCACCATCATGATGATGATGATGTGGCAACAGATGCTGCGTGGCAGGATCCATTCTGCGCCTGGAGAACGAGGTGGCAGCAGCAGCTCTCGCGTGGTGTGGTCTCTGACAGAGTGCGGGATGAGTAAAGCCGACCTCACTGAGGGCTGAAAGGAGGATCTTCCACCATGAATGGACTCCCAAACTGCTCTGCTAACTACACAAACATCTGGAATCATTCTCTGGTGCTTGCCCTGGGCATCCCCCAGCTGACCATCAACGTCGCGTCCGTGCTCTTCAACTGCACCGTCATCTTCATGCGCCTGGTCACCAAGGACCTGCACAAGCCCATCTCCATTCTCTTCTGCAATTTGGCCGTTTCCGATCTCTTCACCAGCTTCTCTGGCTTTTGGATTTCTGCGCTGTTCATCACCAACCCCGACATCACCATCTTTGGCTCCAAGGACATGCTCGCCCCTTACGCCCTGTACACGACGTCCATTTTATCCACCATCTACAACCTGGTGAGCATCGGGGTCGAGCGGTACCTGGCTGTGGCCAAGAGCATGAGGACGAGGTTCAGGGTTGCCAGAAACCATTCCATAGCCGTGGTTTTCATCAACTGGGTCCTCGCTTTCTTTCTGGGCTGCTTGCCCCTGATGGGGTGGAACTGCCTGCACAAGGAGGAGAAAGTCTCGGTCCTCTACAGCCCCTTCTGTGTCGACTACCTCATCTTCATCTCCATCCCCAACGTCGTGGTGGCGTTTATCATCCCTCTGTTCACCTACCTCAGGATCATCATCATCCTGAGGAGGAGGAAGCTGAGGATGAAGGCGTGCGGGCAGGCCACGGGCACCTACAAATCGGCTGAGACCCAGGTGGCCAGGACCAGCATCTTCATCTGGCTGCTGGCGCTCATCTCCTACGCCCCCTTCTTCGCCGGGGTCATTTTTGACGCCACCAACCAGCGGTGCCACATCGACCTCTACCCGGGCGTCTACATCTTCAGGAACTGCACGGCCGTGCTCATCACCATCAACTGCCTGGGCAACCCCCTCATCTACACCCTCAAGCTCAAAACCCTGGGGGCCAAGCTCAAGGCTCTCAAGTGCCTCTCCGTCGGCCGCGTCCGAGCCTGTGCCATCGAGCACATCTAGGCGGGGCTGCCCCTGCTGCGGCGCTGCCGCTGGGCCTGGAGCCAGGGACAGCCCTGCAGCCCCTCCAGAACCACAGAGGTTCCCAGAACATGTGGATGGGGCACCTGGGGGCACGGATTAGTGGTGGGATGGTGGATGGACTTGGTCCTGGAGGTCTGCTCCAGCCTCGACGCCGGGCTCTGTGCCTCCCCACGCCCTCAGCAGCGAGAGGCTGTTCTGCCTGGCTCTCCCTGGGGAAGCAGGCAGTGTGTACCCCTGCTCTGCTTTGCCTCCAGCTGGGATCAGGGAGCTGCTTTCCTGGGAGATAAAAATAACCCCATTAGCCCTGTTTACTCTGCCTTCGGAAATCGGCGGCCGCTGCTGCGCTCGCTTCGCTGCCGACGCTCCCGTCCCCCTCGGGTGGTTTGGATGGCTTTGAGGGCAGTTTAATGGCTGGAAAATTCTCAGCAGTTGGGGAGCGAAATTGTCGGTTTACTTTCTCATTTACGCTCAGTCGAGTTGTCCCTTTGACTGCTGGGTGGGTCTTTGTTAGCGGGGCACTCAGCCCTGTTCTCCTGGTGTCCTTCTAACTGCAGTGTGGAGCTGGGTTAAGTGTTTTTGTGGGACATCCGTGGCTACATCTTTCATATTTCTGCTTATAGAGGCACACTCGAGTCCATGGCTTGTGAAATTCGTGCTGTTCTGGGTGAAAACCTCGGCTGGATCCTTCAGGATTAAACTGAAGTTGAGTTGCCTGTAAAAAAACAAAATAAAGATGTCAAGACCAGGTGTTTTGTAAAAGAAAAAGGTCTTAATCCCTCTCTCTCTCAAAAGGAAAAAAAAAATTGGCTGCTGAATATTTATTTAGTTGATATTGTTTTATCAGGTCCTAGTGGAGGTGGATGTTTATTCTTAGTCACACAGGGAGATGTTCTAGAAGAACCTCAGCGCTCAAATTTCTGATCTCTTGCCTGAACCAAGACAGGTTTTATTTTCTCTTGCCCCAGCCAGAAGCCTGGCTTTGACAGGTCTGGTGCCATCAGCTCCCCTTGCTGGTTCCAAAGTGTGCTCAGAGGCTGCTCTGGGGGGTTTCACCAATGCACAGAATGTAGGAAATGGGAAATGCCATCACATTAACAAATCTGACACCCAGTCCTTCCCTTTATTGCTGACAAACCCCTCTCCTGTGCTGCTTCACACTGAAGGACTCCAGGGGAGTTCCTTTGATCTGAATTAAAATTCAGATATTTAAGGAAATGGATGGCCCTAAGTGACACAGAATTAAAATGAATTATTGAAATGGATAATGTAACTCAGGCAAGATAATTTCTTTTCCCTGTTCCTTGTTTTATTTTGGAGCACTGCTGTTCTGTCAGGGATTTCTGGGAGCTCCCACCACCCTCAGCCCCAGGGAGTGTCTGGTTGCAACCTGAACATCTGCATTTCACCCTCAACAACAGCAGGTTCAGCCAAAACCTCCCACAGGGCCGATGGTGAAGGCCAACCCGGGCTGGTTTTGGGTGGGATATTTGCTTTGTGGTGTAGTTTCTGTCCCCACTTCCACAGTGACATCGGGAAGGTGCCAGGTCAGGAGCAGAGCACTCGATGTGTCACTGCCCATGGCAGTGGTGGGCACTGGGAAAGCCAAGGGGACTGCTGGGATCCTTCAAGAGCCCTCCAGAGGGTCTGGATCTCTGCATCTGTAACTCTAGATATCTCTGTCTCTCTCTATAGATAGATCTGTACATATATTTATATTTCTCTGTATCTCATATCTCTATATATCTGTGTATCTATCTAATGTTTCTTTCTCTCTGTCTCCCCTCCTTCTCTCCCCCCATATATAATCGATATCTAGAGAGATATATCTATACCTGTACCTCTCCAGTTATCTGTAGATCACTCTGTGTGTCTATAGATCTCTCTCTGTAAACCTATAGATCTCTTTATACATCTCTGTCTCTATCTATAGATCTACCTCTCTCTCTATATAGAGAGAAAGACAGAGATCTCCCTCTATCTGTCTATATATAGAGAGATCTCTCTCTATCTGTCTATATATAGAGAGATCTCTCTCTCCCCCTCTCTCTGTCTATCGATATCTCTATTGGTCCACCTTTTTCCATCTCTATTTCTATACAATATAGAAATCTGTAATCTATATAGACACCTAATCTCTCTCAGTCTGTAGATATCTATAGATCTTTCTATAGATCTTTCTATAGATCTTACTAGAGATCTTTCTATAGATATCTATAGATCTCTCTATCTCTCTAGATATCTCTGTTTCCCTATATATCTGCCGCTATCTCTGGATATCCACATTTTCCATCTCTGTTTCTGGACAATCCCGGTCCCCGCGGCGGGCGGGGCCGCGCTCGGTCCTTCCCTGAGCTCGGCGGTGGATTAGCGAGCCTGGCCGGGGGAGCGCTCGGCGATGGATTAGCCAGCCTGGCTGAGGCGCTGGGGGCGGCCATGAGGGCTGCGGGGCCGTGCGGGGAGTGCGGGGAGCGGGACACGGGCCGGTACCGCTGTCCGCGCTGTGCCGCCTCATAGTGAGCCGGGGGGGACAGGGGAGGACCGGGGGGGATGTGAGTGCACGGCGGGGCCGTGCGGGGTGTGCGGGGAGCGGGACACGGGCCGGGAGCGCTGTCCGCGCTGTGCCGCCCCGCAGTGAGCGGAGGGGCCCGGGGGGTGTCGTGTGAGGGCGCGGCGGGCTCTCTGTGCCGCTGCGGTTCCCCCGCGGCCCCTCACGCTCCGCGTCTCTCCCGCAGCTGCTCCGTGCGGTGCTGCCGGACCCACCGCGGTGAGTACGGGCCGGGAGGGGCCGGGGCTGTGCCGGGGCTGTGCCGGGGCTGTGCCGGGGCTGTGCGGGGCTGTGCCGTGGCTGTGCCGGGGCTGTGCCGGGGCTGTGCCGTGGCTGACCCTCTGTGTCCCCAGAGCGCTGCGCGCCGCGTCCCGACGGGGAGCGGGACAAGGGGCAGGCACCCCCCCCGGCCCCGCCGAGTCCCGCACACGGCCCCTGGTCCCTGGAGGACATCCTGGGCGAGGAGGACGAGCAGGACCGAGTCCCGCTGCAGAAACTCAAGCTTTTAGGTGAGTTTGGGGAATTCGGGAGCCTGCCGGGTGCGGGGCTGGTGGGGATTCAGCAGAAATGCTCCCCATTCCCAGGAGTTCTGCGTGGAGCTGCTCCCAGCCGTGCAGCTCGTTGCAAGGCCTTAAAGAGTTACATATCAGATATTTGACCTTTCACCAGTCTCTTTGAAAGTTTGTTTGCAAAATAAGGAAGGTGTTAACTTCACTTGTAACCTCTTGAGAGGTTACTGCTGTTTATCTTTTTTCTTTTTAAAGGGGAGTCAGAAGAACTGAGGGCTTTGCTGCTGAACCCACACCTCCGGCAGCTGCTCCTCACCATCGACCAGGCAAAAGACAAAAGCTCCCTCATGAGGAAGTTCATGCAGGAGCCCCTGTTTGTGGAGTTTGCAGATTGCTGCCTGAGCATTGTGGAGCCTCCTGAGAAGGAGAACATCCTCCCCGAGTGAGCACATTTTCCTTTCCTTGAGGTTTTGTGCTGCAGAGCTGCTCCATTCGGTGCCTCTCCTCGGGGTCTGGTCTGTGATTTCAGTTTGGAGTTGACAGTGAGAGATTTCTAGAGACTGGGGCTTGAACTTGACACTCTGTGGACCTGCTTTGTGTGGGTACAGAAATGCTGGCAACCGTGGGAAATGTTACTTCACAGTGACAATATTAAATATAGTTGCGTTTATTTTTAATCAACAAATACTCTGCCATGTTTTTGTTCATTGTTTGGGGTGGTCAGACACCTTGACAAGGCATTGAGCAGCTTATTTAAAATGACTTACACAGAGGAGCTGAACGTTTTCGAGACCCACGAGCAAGAGAAGGACGGCACAGAGCACCTCTGATGAGACCCCTGGCAGGGCAGTGCTGTTTGGGGAGCTCTGGAAACACCTGGCAGCTGTGAGAGCTCAGAGATTTTGGTCATAGAGAGAAAAAAAGCAAGAGCCCAGTCTTGCTTTTCCCTGAGACATCTGCCCTTAGTGTGACATTGGCTGCTCCTCCCTCCCTCCTTTGGTCAGTCAGGGTTGTACCTCTGAGAATCCAGCAGGAATCAGGAATGTTTGCATTATTTGCTCCCTCATGACCAGCCTCTTGCTTCGCCAGGTAGTGCCAGCAGCGTTCAGTTCAAGTATTTATTGCTTAAAGCACCTGATCTGGTTTAACTGATTGTTCTCATAGTGCTGATATTTCCTGCAGCGTGTGCTGTGTGGAGGAGCGGCCCCCACGCCCCCCAAATTTGAAGTGTGTTACGTTGCATTGTATTTTACGCACAAGGCATCGAGGTGAAAGCTCTGAGGTAGCAGCAGATGTGGCCGTTGGGTGATTTGGAAGCAGCAGCTTGCAGAGAGCCCGTCCCTGAAGGCAGAGGTGTGCAGGGGCCAGGCCTATGTGGGCAGGAGTTCCTTTCTGTCCAGCAGGATCTGGTTGAATCCTGTGATGGAACAGGCGTCCCTGTGGGGGCTGACGTTGGAATAGTGCAGAGGGGACTTCCTGCAGTGGAACCTGACAGAGCCCTGCAAGGAAAAGAGGGGGAGAGCTCAGCTGGGGGCTTGGCCAGCTTTTGAGGTCATTCTGTTATTCATGCTTAGTGTTCATGAGCAGCTAGTGACTATGAGGATAGAAGAGGACCTCCAGAGGAGTTTTAGTACAAATGGATTTAAGAGAAGTCAGTGCCAATACTGTTATTTTAACAGGAATTAACTTAAACTCTGGCGATTCTGTAGTAGATTTAGTACTGAACTTGCTACTGCTTCTGCCTGCTTGCAGTAACTGGGACCAGTTCCTGCACACGTCTTATGCAGCCTCAGAAAAGTTACCCAAAAACCCACCAAGGTGATTTGTAACAAGGTGCAGTTTCTGAGGGCACCTTGTTGGCAGGAAATGGTAGCCAGGACTATTCCTGAACTCCTGGCACCCTGCCTGTGCTGGCTGGGGTCTGGGAGGTGGTTACCTGTGGGAGAGCTCTGATGGAAGCGATGCCACAGCCCAGGGAAGAGCTGTCCAGCCTGGAGCTGCCGCTGCCCCGGAGCCCCCTGAGCCAGCCCAGCAGGGCCAGCTCCCTGCGGGGCCCCGTGGCAGTGACAGGGGCAGCAGCCAGGACAAGGCCCAGGGGCCACAACTGGACAATGGCCTGCAGAGGCCACGCTGTGTCCAAGGAACACGGCAGCTTGGCCGGGATCACCGTGGCTCCAGGAGCTGGGAACTCCTTCCCTTCCCCCTCGTCCAGTTCTGCCGCTGCCAACGCGGCCATTTTTGCCTGGTGAAGATAAGGAGCAATATTCAACAAGGTTCTCAGACATCTTGAGCAGAATTGAAAGAGTCTAAAAAGGAGGGAATCTGAAAGGGCAGCAGACCCTTTGGGGCATTCCCTTGGGGAAGGAATGGGTTTATTCTGCAGAATAGAAGCAGCTGTGCAGGACTGGCATCCTCTGCTCTTCAGCTGGAGAAGGGTTTAATGAAGCACTGACAGAGCTGCTTTTGTAATTAGTTGAGGCAGAGTGGTAACTACTAAGAGGGAGATTCCTTCTAAAAGTTAAAGCCTCAGTGAGTGAGTTTGTTTCCTTCCCTGTCCCCACACCCTCACCTTCCATCTCCTCCAGCGGCGCTGGATGACGTTGGCAGCCCCGCGCATCCTTCGGAACCGGCTCCTGGCCAGCCAGGAACGGACAGCTGAGGAGTCAGTGGAAACAAAGCTGAGCACAAACCACCCCAGGAGCTCTGGCACACAGTGTAAGAGGTGGCACTTCACCACCCCTGCCACTTTAATCCCCCAACAGAACTGGAAACGTTCCTTGTTGTGCTGTTCCAGCCGCACCCTCGTGGAGTTACCTGCTTGGATGACAGTTGCAGACTGTTTCTCCTTTGCCATTTTCCTCTGCTTAAATCTCCTCCAGCAACACTGAATGCAAAATGCTTTCTCATTTAACACCTCTGCTCTCCTGGCTTCGAGTAGCTCCAGCTGCAGTGGGGACAGGAGCTTGGAGTTAGTACCCAGGGCAGAGTTGTGCTCTCAACTCTTCCCTTCTCTGCAGCCTCTTGGTGTTTGTCAGAGAGCCACATCCTCATTCCAGTGTCCTGTGACTGCTGGATTAGGTGTTAGAAGTGACAGCACTCCTGACAGCTGTCAGATAATATGGAAACAAAAATGTGAGTAGTTGGGGGGTCACTGTAGCAGCTGGCTTAAACCCAACTCCACTGAAGGGGGTTCTTCTGTGGCTGCATCCTGCAAACTTGGCAAAAGTCCCTTTGTCTCCTTCATCTTTTTCCCCAAGGAAGCTCTGTGGGCCAGCTGGAGTAGCCAAACCTATCAGCTGAAGGTAAGGAAAGCTGTAATCTTGCCTGGAATTGGGAGAATACTGACAGTTGTAGACTCAAGTGCAGCTCCTTGTCCCTTGGCTCCACAGAGGCCATTAAACAAAGTGCTTCTGAGGGCTGGGTTCTGCTGGCTGCTTGATTGAGTTGAGTAATTGGAAGGAAAATGCCCAATTCTGGTCACACTGGCTTGGCAGGAGCATTGCCCCCACCCTGGTGATCCCTGTGCCAGGATCCCCATTAGGCAGGTGAGCCCCAGAACTGTCAGCCAACTTACCACAGAACTGGCCAGGAAAACTTTGGTCTTCCCACAGTACACTGAGGGGGTTCCTGCTCCACTCCCTGTTTGCTCAGCAGTGGTTTGTCCCACAACAATGTTCTGAAGGATCTCAAGAGCAGCAGAACGTGAGGCTTTGTCCTCCTCCATCACCGCATTCTCCCCTGGAAATGAAGCATTGAGGAGCAGGAGTCACAAGGCATGGAAATCAGGACCAAGGAATTGTCTTTACTCTGAGATTTCTGGGCCATCTAGTGGGGGAAAACCTCCAGCAAGAGGGGAGGTGATGGCTGAGGGCACTCATCTCACTGTTTTGGGGTAAAATGGGACAGCACAGATTTCACCAGGTGCCAGCAACCAGAAAACCACCGTGGGGTGTTTGAACTGGGAACAAAAACAAGGAATTGGACTCAGCCTTAATGTACTGAAAGGTGCAGGAGGGGAAACAACTCTCCACAATTCTCCAGCTTTCCCAGGGCAGCTACAGGGGTCGTGCACTGAGCAGAATTTACTGCAGCAATTAAGAGGTTATTAAAGCCATTTCTGGGACACAGCGCGCAGCTTTTTACATCATGAGACAAACAGGTTGGCCAGATGAATCCAACTGGAAATAGACTTAGCTCAGAGCTGCCCTTGGAAGAGATCAAGGCAGTGCTGTAGGAGTTCCTGCAATGGGCTTTGCATCATTCCATCCTGGATACTGTTTGCTTTTCTGCTATAAATATTTCTAAGGAGATGAGAGCATTTTAAGGTACTGAAAACAAATAGGAGCAATTCTTGCCTCCAGGAAGACATCTGGTGCCTATGATGGTGTTCCTGGGGCCGGGCTGATAAGGGAACCCAAAGCTTATCCCCGTGTTTGGGAAATTTGTTTTGCTTTGTTTGCAGCTTATTACCCCCCTAAAGATAAAAAGGACTAAGAACCTATCACAGAGAGGGTTTGCAGCTAATGGGTTTGTAATTGAGGGGGAAAGATGCAGTGTGTAAGTGATTTTCCAGCCTGTACTTCCTTCCTTCACTCCATTTCCAGCCGGTGAATGGATACCCAGACATTTCACTTATCTGAACAGACTGGTACTTACTGGTCCTGCTTCCCACTGGTTATGGAACAGGCCCACTGGGTGAAGGTGGGATTAATTTGGGAGAGAGAAGGGGGTTGCAGGGACTTTCAGTATTAAATGTAACCTCCTGATGAGCTCCTCCTTTTCGGGGTTCATAGCAAAGGCATTACCTCGTAGATGGGGTTGTGGGTTTGGGGTTGTGGTTTTTAAAGTCCATCCTCGCTCTTGTTTAGCAAAAGAGAAGTTTGCAAAAGGTGGAAGAAGCAGCAGAATCCAGGTAAGCTGGAGGGTCAGTGATTCAGCAAGGAAGCAAAGGAGGGAAAAAAAAAGAAAGGAAGGAGAAGGAACATGAGCCAAAAGGTAAGAGGCTTTCAAGCTTACTAAAGAACCAACTCTAAATCAAATGATAATTGGGTGGGGGGCCCAGACACCATTGTACCTTCAATTGTTCCAGCCAAGAGGAACACAGAAAACCAGCAGTAAGAGGAAAGATTTTAAAAAGAGCCTGCTGGAAGCATTAGGGAAATGAGAAACTCCAGCTGGTGACAGATTAGAGAAGTATTCTGAGAACAGGGGTGTCCCTCTGAATACAGTAATCACCAGATCTATCAATACCAAATGGGTGCAGTGATAATTTTACCTGATGGCAGAGGGATTACCTGCACAAACATACCTTTTTCCTCAGCAGTGTGAGAGCTGCTTTTATCACACACTCTGGTTTTCCTGGGCCCACAGGACTGTCTCAGGATTTCATAGCGCTCAGTGAAACGCTGGAAAGGGATCCTGGCAGACAAACACACAGGGAATTCCAGGAAAAGAGTCACTCCTGTGGCAAAGAACTTATCCTTTGGGGGTGAAAACTGCAGAATGGCTTCACAGACCCAGTGCAGGGAATGCAAACAGACTGATGCCTAAAGAGTCACCAACAGGCAAGAAAGTACAAACTTCCAGTAGTGCCTGTGGCAAAGACTGGAGCTGTGCTTGGATATGACAATGATGAGCTTCATCCCATCAGTGACTATCTCAGGCCTTGCTCTGCACTCTCTAAAGCTGATGAGATGCTCAGCTCTGAGCATCATAAATGCCATTTATGATTTAACTGCTAAAAACATTACTGTGAAGCCACATTCAGTTAGAAAAGTTTGAGTACATAACAGTCCCCATCAAAACATCTCTTCCCCAGCTTCTCAGGCTGGAAAGGAGCAGAGAGCTCTCAGGCAGCTTGGAAAGCATCAGTAGTTTCGAGGCCTAAAACAAAGTGCAAAATGTTTGGGTTTCCTGCTTACGAGCTCTTCTGAATGACTAATGTGCCTCTAATTGCTGCAGAAGTGGGTTATGCTCAAGGAGTTTGGACTTACCTGACAGGGAATCCTGCTGCACTGATGGTGATGGCTTCGACTATTCCACATGCCTGGAGCTGGCTGAGAACCTGAGGCGTAAATTGGGGTGGTTTAGGTGACACTGTCTGTGGGAGCTGCCCCTTTCTTGTGGTTTCCACCCCCTGACTGGCCGAGTGCAGCAGCAGGTGAAAAGCCAGTGGGGGTATTTGAATACTACTGTATTATTTTAACACTATTTTAGCACTCAGCAAATTCTATCAGTGATTAAAGTTAAGGCAGCTGCTTGTTTGCCCATCAGATGAGGGTCTCCAGTTACAGCTCTGCTCCCAAAGTCCTCAGCTGACCTCACCCAGCTTGTCCTGCACTCCAGGAGCAAGCAAAGTTTGGTTTGGAAGATCCCTGTGTGCCCAGGGCTGCAGAGCACTCAGAACATCCTCATCTGTGTGAGGGCTGGGAGGGCAGTGCCCCAAATAACCCAGGAGTGCTGTGGGAAGAGAACTTCTTCTACAGCAGCACAGAAGTTGCACCTGGAAGAGCTGCTGAGCTCACACAGGCTCTGCTCTGGACCAGCACCATCCGTGGTTCTGAAGGGATGTTTGTCTCTGCAGCCTCACAGGGGAAGCAGCTATTTCAAAATGTGCTGTGAAAGGAGCTTTGCAGCATCTCCAGGAGGCTTCTCAGGGAGCAAAGGCTTTGGCAAAGTTACCTCCTCTCTTTTAAAAGTCATTGCCTTGCAGTCAGCGTTGGGCTTGATGCAGCGGATGTAGTGGGGCGTGGTCCTGTCCAAAATCTGCATGAGGTGTTCCAGGGAGCTCTGCACAAAACAAGCAGGGGATGGATTAGGGACAACTCCTCCACAGGGAGCTCAGCTCGTCAGGGGTCTTCTACCAAACCCAGGGAGCTGTTTTTTGCAAGGATGGCTTTACAGAGTCAGAGCAATTCTACAGGGACAACTTGAGAAAAAAAATCCACTCTGGGGGTGCTTTTATCAAACTGTTGATGGTAAATTCAGAAAGTTCCCAAAATTATAGCAGGGCCATCTGTTGACATGAACCCCTCAAGAGGAGCAGGTAAGAAGAAGCCTCAAAAAGGCAGGTGCCCAACTGTTAAAGGCAAAATTAGAGGGAGTTACAACCCAGACAATATCAGGAGTCTGAAGCTGTTTCTGTTTTACAGCTGTTTCCTTTTTACATCATTTACTGATCTTCATCCAGCTCCTGTTTTCTCATCTAGTCACGAAGGCAGCAGGAGAAAGCAGGAAGCTGAATAGGATGTACCTTGAACTTGGACACCACTGTAACAACAGGTGCTCTGTTCTGGGTTTTGATGTTATTCTGGTTTTTCTGTCACAGGAAATAATTTTTGAAGCAAGGAGTCCTTAGAGTTCTGCAAAACGTGGAGCAGCTCTGGTGGAACAGCATCCTGCAAACACAGACATTATGTGTCAGAATGTGGACTTGGGCAGACACTGCCACCTCTGCAAATGGCTAAAAACTCCACAAAAATAGAGGGAACAGGATTGCTGATGCCAACTTCAATTTAACCACAGCTGCAGTTCCAAATCTGACCACGTCCATTCATTCGCAGTCAGATTTGGGAACAGAAAACAATGTTTGCCTGAATATTTAGCAGATCCTGTCAAATGTGTGACTGCTCCCAACACTGTTCTTGTTGCACAGATTGTGTGAGCCAGAACTGGTTTAAAAGGGCAGTCTGCAGCAAACATTAGAAACTCTGTTAGAAACACTCCTTTTAATTAAGAGATGGTGTTTTATTGCATCACCTATTTTACTTATTCCCTGATGGCACAACAAGGCCAAAATTTGAATACTTCCAGAATTCCCAGGAAAGTCCATGCTCTTGTTTCTCATAAACTTACCTGATTTTTTTAGGGGAAATGAAGCACTCTATTTATGGTTATAAAAAGGCCCTGATGCCATTAACAGTTCTGCATCTCCCAGGAACAGGAGAGGCCCTGATTTGGTGATGGTCCACTTAATCCTCAGCTGAAAGCTCTAACAAAAGCAACTGTTTGTGCCAGGGATGGACTGAAAACCAGACCAAGAACATTACCCAGCTTTCCACGGCCTGAAGGATTTCTCTGGAGCGAGGTATGTACACCCAGCACACATCCCTGACCGGGCTGGTGAGCAGGGCTTTGAAATCCCCTCTGGTCTGTAAGATTTACCAGCTCTTTCTGAAAACACCTACCTTGTTTTTCTCCACCATTGCTGCCAGCTGGTAGCAGACTTTGCCAGCATAATGTGAAATGATGAAGTTGGGCTTCTTACTAAACCTGTCTCTGCTCAAACACTGGTTCCCAGACAGGCCTTTCTCGATCCGAGTCTGGAGCAGGTGGGTGTTGGAGGGTCTGTTCAGGCGACACTCCTGCAACGAGACAGGCTTGGGGCACCTCTTCTCTGCCACAGAGAACTGACTCTAAAGCTAAACCACTTTAATTTAAAGTCACAGCCATTTTGCTGTTACAGCAGGCAAGCCCTGAAGGGTTGGGGGGTTGGATCAGAACGTCCCAGATCAGAGGAAAAAAAGATACTCAGAATATGAGGGAGCAGTGTCGTGATTATTCTGAAAGCAGAGCTCTGCAGAAATTGTATAGCTGGCAAGTTTTCTGCTGATGGAGTGTTCATGTTTTCTTTGGTGGTGTGGGACAAAGGCAGGAAACTAGGCCAAGAAAACTCAGGGTTTAGATCACACTCACCTCGTTCAGCAAGGAAAAAATGCTGAGAGGATTTCCCTCTATGAGGTCAAGGCAGTTCTGGTTATCCTGGTAGTTTATGAATGACCACTGCAGGCCCTCAGCTGCATATTCTTCCTGAGGGAAGAGGGAAAGGATTATCCTGCAGCAGAGGGCACCAGAGCCTGGAACTGTGTGTCTTGTGCAGTTGATGCAGTTAATGTTTAATGAGTTAATCCCAGCTCAGCTGCTCATCCAAAGCTCAGCTCGAGTTTAAGAGCAAGCTGAGGAAAAAAAACCCAACAAATGAGGATATTTTTGCCCAGGTAGCTTTTGAGTGTGGATCAGAGCCCACTGGAACAATTTGTCTGAGTATTTGGGAACCTCACAGATTTATCAGAGTGAGCTGCAAGGCTGGTTTAGAGAGTAAACAGAGGCTACAGTCACACAAAGCCTGTCCTGGCTCTGCTGAGATTTGCCCTGAAGGGCAAGGAACGTGCAGAACTCCTTCCTTAGACTGGGACACAGCCCTAACCCAACCTTTGTGTGCCAGGCTTTACCAACTGGGCTCCTTTTAAAGCCTGATCCAAGAGGAAGTACAGAGAGATATTAGTTGGAATAATCTGTACAATATTTATGCTGAATTACAGGACAGACTGTCAGGACTGTTTAACAAGCTCAGGCTCTGGGCAGTTATTTTAAAAGTCTCCTGCCAAAAGCTTGCTCAGCACAGCCACTAATGGCATTTAAGTGGTTTGGGCCCCAGCCAGAGGCAGAGAGGTAAGAGGGCAGGCAGTGGCTGGGAGGGGAGCAGTAAACAGAGGTCATGGAGCAGTTTCAAGGCAAGTAATTGTGTGCTTGAACTTGGTTTCCATCTTCACTGACCATTAACCCCTGGCACAGAGACGAGGGCAGGCAGGGAAAAAGGCCTGGGAACGTCAAAGCACAAACCATAGTCAGAGAAATACTTATCTCCTGAACAAATTGACAAAGCCATGCTGGGAGGCAGGAGGTGCCAGTGTGCTGGTGCCATAAAGAAAACAATTTCCCAGACTGCAGTTAATGGCAAAGAGCAGTGTGGTAATGGAGCTGCACTGTGGAACAGGGAACAGATTTGCAGTCCCCAAGACAGAGAGCTGTGACATTCCACCAACTGCCCCACACTCTCCTCTTCACAAAGCCACTCTAACATCCCTCTGCTTTCTGTGGCACTGCTGACTGACTGAAGGTTGCATTCTGACCAGAGGCACAGAAAAACAGTTGAAGTGACAAAAGACGCTGTTTTAAAATTAGATTTTTTTTTTTTCCTCTTAGCGGGGTCTCACCTGCTGTGCCTTCAGGTAGTGTGCTACAAAGTGCTGCTGCAGTTTCTCGTTGGCATAGTTAATACACAGCTGCTCCAAGTTGTTTTCAGGGAAGGCTTCAAAACCATAAACATCCAACAGGCCTAGAAGGAACGTGGGAAGAACAGTGAGCTTTAGTCCAGGGGCAGCTTGAGGGACTTTCAGTTAAACCAGGGTGGACTATGGAATATCCATACCTATGAAGCTGGTCCACACCGATGGGTCTGCATAGATGCTTTCATTGATGACCAGAACGAGCCATTCAAACAATCTGCAAGGACAGTGGGATTAGCTGGAAGCTGCCTGCAGGGCAGTGCTCTGTTCCTGCTGCTCCCATCGGGGTCACTTGGAGGGAACAGAAAGCTCTGCCAGGAAGCAGCAGCACTGAAGGATTCCCTGGCAGATGCTGTCAGTGTGCAGCAGAATGAAGGTGTGCCGAGAGGGGAAGGGTTACAGTCATGGAATCCAAGCAGAAGGTCAGGGGAAGGGAATCCCTCTGGCCTCCCTCTTCCCTCCCCAAAGCCCCGTGGACTGGCAGGTCCATACCTGGCGTAGATGACTTTGGCCAGGCAGTCCCTCCTGGTCTCACACTCAGCCCTGGAGCAGGGCTTCTTGAACACCTGCTGCTGTTTCCCAGCAGTTATTGTCCGAATTCTTAGTGATTCCAGCAGTTCCTCCACGGGGATCTTCAGCAGATCTCCAGTGGTCTTCACAAACCCTTGTTCAGGAGAACAAACAGTGCCAGGTCAGCTGCATGCAGGTCTTTTAAGCTATGGAAGATCTCTAGTGTAGGAAAATGACACTTCCATGAGCTCACCAACTTCAATGTGGATTTTGGATCTTTTACCCAAACTTGGCAGCAAGTTTTGCAAGACCAGACTCTTAATTTGGATGTAGAGTTCCCCTAGAATTTCGGGTACTCTGTTTAAAATGAACCAATACCAAGAAATTCTGAAGTTTATCACACTGAAGTTGGCATTTGATAGAGTCTCTCTAGTCTTTGTTACTTGTTCACCTTTTTTGAGCAGAGACCTTGAAATCCAGGCAGACAAATCAGTCATGGCCAGAAAAAAAAAAACAGGGAAAAAACCAGAACATGTAGAACAATGAGTATTTGCTAACAAAGCATTTAAGATCTTGCTAAGCTGAGCTGTATGAAAAACGATTTAATATTGAATAGTGGGAATTCAGAGCTTGGGAAACCATAGGAGGAAACTTCACTGTTCAGGACAGTTTTGGTTCTGAAGGAAAACCAGACCCACGAGCCTCCTAAAGACATGCTGAACCACCTACAGTTATGCTGCAGTTTGACAGATTATCTGGTACTCAGGTTAAGGCTTTACCATGAAAACTTCAAAGCTTTGATGTTAAAAGCCCTGCTCTCCACTCGGGGTCAGATTTCTGCAAGTGTTGTGATGTCATGGCTAAGATTACAATCAAGAGTCACACAACAATCCTGCTGGAGTGACTGACTGGTGCTGAAGTTGCCCTGACCTGTCACAGAAGGATATTGTCTCTTAGAGAAGGGGAGCATTAGTTTTGTTTACTCACAAAAACAAGCTTAAATTTTGGGTTGCTCATGACCTTGATAATCTCTATCAGCAGAAGGGTGCAGTAATCCTTTCCATCAGGCATCTGCACTGAGGTAACAGGACTCCCTGGAGCATGGCATGGTTGTTGCCTCACCTTTGGTTTTGTCTTCCAGTTCACAAGGCTGAGATTCATCCACAGGGTTAGAGAATTGGACGTTCCCAAGGTGGAGGAGGCCTGATAATACCTGAAACAGAATAACTGAGGTTTTTAAAACAGCTCCCCTCCAGGGCAGTGTCCTCTGAGCCTTCCTTTAGCCCCAGCAACAGGACAAGTGAAAACATTTCTGCACAGAAAGAAGCGAGCAGACTCCAAGCTTCTGTGTGAATCCCTAGTGCTGCAGTTCCTGGAGGAAAACTGCAGTTCACAGGTGGAGGCTCTGAGTGAGGATCTAAGATTTGGCTGTGCAACCTGATGTGTTGCTGCAGGAGCACCAAGCAGCCCGTGCTGTGCAGCAATCCCACACCAGGAGGACTCTCCAAACACCCTGAGCAGCCTCGGGGTGTCCCCTCTTTGTACCTGACCTTGAAAAGCTCGCTCTGCGCGGAGCGGTCGATGCCCAGGTGACACATGGCAGCTCTGGTCACCTCCAAGCTGTCCTCTGCAAAGCCAAACAGGGGCTGGTTAAAACAAAGCCATGCACACAAACACGGGCAAGCAGGACACTGCACAGCTGGAACTGCCACAGGACACCGAGGGAGCCAGATTGGGTGAATCCCCCAGTACAGGCTGGAGAACCCAGTCCCTGGCTCGGCGCTGCCTCTGTGGCTCTCCAGTGAGGCAGGAGGTGCTGAAGCACATCCAAAAAAACAAGACAGTTTCAAAACACAGCCCCAGAGACGCAAATTCACCAGCCAGAAACAGCTGCTTTAGGCCAGGTTGAGTTTTAAGACTTCATAGTGCAAACAGAAACTTCAGAAGAATCCCCCTGATGCAGGTGGCCCTGGGGCAGGGGACTGAACAGGACATATTTTTGCCTGCCTTCCTGGAAAGTTCCAGCTGTTATTAATGGGCAGTGAAACTCATCTTTACCATCCAAATTTCTTTCAGAATTTGGCAGCCAGCGGTACTCAGCCCCTTCTGGAAGGTTCCACTCCAGCCTTTCCTCTGCAGTAGCACCTTTGGTGATCTGGAGACAGAAAACAAGGTAAAGATTGAATTGTGCCTTTGGTATTTACAGACAAGGAAGAATAACATATTGGGAAGGTGATTTCATTTGGAAGCCTGGCAGACAGGGAAACTGTTAATTATTAAAAGTTGCCACTGTGCTAAATTTGGTGATTTCATCACACTGTTTGTCAGAAATATGCAGCAAAATTAACTGAAGGCAAACCTGATAAAAAATATGAAAGTTTCTTTCATTGGGGGCCTGATAGGCAACTCTGGTCTTCTCCAAAAGGAAAGTCTGAATGGAAGCACCGCTCAGATGGTGGAATCTAGAAGGGGAGAAAGAGCAAAGATTTCAGCAAAACCTCTTCACAGAATCCAACAGGTGCTGTGTTTTGTGACACCAACTGACTGTGAATGCTTTGCAGTTCACCTTCAGTTTTGTGCAAGCCTAATTTCCTATTTCATCCAGGTTTAAAGGAAGCAGACAGTGGGTTTACAGAGTTACCTGTCTAGCTGCAGCTGGATGTACTTCCCGAAGCGGCTGCTGTTGTTGTTCCGCAGGGTGCAGGCGTTGCCTGGGGAATTGCCAGGGACACAACAATCAGAGTGGTTCCACTCTCCCATGCAGGACATACACATACTAAGTAAGGGTGATTTGATCCTGTATTTTGAGAGTTTACTTTTAAGGAGAGGACCAAGACATAGCTTAGATTTGTGTATTAACAAAGAGAATTCCCACAGTGGCCATTACTGCTTTTTGCTGTTAAAAAAAGCCTCATTTACCAAATGCTTCCATGACAGGGTTGGAGTCCAGCACTCTCCTCTCTATCCTTTCCACAGTTTCATTGCCTTTTGGGCAGACAGCTGAAGCAGCAACAGAGGCATAGAACTTCATAAGGCAGCGAGAGGTCCAGGTCTGCAAGAGAGAGGCTGCACAATAGGGCCTTGTTTGTCCCATGTTATCAGCTGTGTCAGTCAGCGAGCAGTGCTGGCTGCTGGAAACACAGCGTGCAGCTGCTGGGGAGGCTAAAGAGAGTAACTGTGTCAGGCTGGCAGCTCTGCCTCAGTGCAAACTCTGTGCCACAGGCACACACTGAAAGGCTGCTGGAGTGGGAGTGCTTTGCTGAATGGCAGCTTCATTGAGATGTCACCATCTGGAAGCTCAGCTAGAATTACCACTGTCTTAAGATGAAGGGAATATAAATGGATTTTGAGTCATTAACACCCAGCAAATCATTTTGTTCTCAGGCTTTAAAAATACCCTCAATGCTGTCCTGAGCAGGGAAGGGCCATCAGAGGAGGGCCCAGGACAGGCTCTGAACTCCCCTCTAAGTCTCTACACAGTTTGCTGAGACCCACACGAGCTCCTGGACAGACCAGACAAACTCAGGTGCAGTTGCTGTTGAATGATTCAAACCCAGCCCTCCCAGAAATGACAGATGTCACCTGAAGAGCAGCTATATTGAGCAGAGTGTGTTTAACTGCAGCAATCACTTAATGCTTCACACATATTTCAAGAGAGTCACACTGGAGCAGACTGGCTACGTGCTCCATCAGAGGGGGTTTTAATTCATCTCTGCTCCTTCACTGCAATACTCTGCACTACAAAGCACTGGCAGATCTCAAAACCTAATAGCAATGTCATAACAAAGAGATTTTCTTACCTTGCCAGCACCACTTTCTCCACTCACAATGATGGACTGGTTCACGGGCTCCATCTGGTTTTGGACGTTTCTGTAGGTTTGCTCAGCCACTGCAAAGATGTGAGGTTTTAAATCCTGGCAGTGAAAGAGAATATTCAGATTTAAGAGAACAGTAATTACACAGTTCAACAGCAATGGATAGTAAAGGTCATCTCCCATTTACCCCAAAACAGCACTGCTCTTTTCACAGAACTAATATTTCACTAGAAATGGGTTTCAGCTTTCAGGAGCGTTTTGCTCATATAGATTTTGAGGAGCTTGCCATCTGGGTTCTGCAGGAGGGACAGTTATTTCAAACACAAGCATTACCTGAGGACGAAGTGCAACGTGGTACTCTCTCATCAGCTCAGGGGAGTAGAGGCAGGAGAAAGGCTGGAATGGGTTTAAAGCCACGAGGCTGCAGCCAGCATTGGTGTAGAACAAGTTGACTCTGTACCTTGCTTGAAGGCATTTCAGAACTGGAAAACACACCTTCTGTTAGCACCTTCTGCAAAGTGTATTTGATCCATCCTGAGCCTGTCTGGAACAAAACCCTTCAGGTATGTTACCTATTTGGTTTAACAGAGAGTGAGGTGACCGAGACAGAGACGTGGGTCTAATGTACATAACGATGTCTTCAAGAGTTGCCCTTATTTGTAAAAATCTTAAGGGATCTGCTATTCCCTTCAATAAATCCTCTGCTTTTATGGGGTTTCACACAGTCCTACAGGGCAAATCTGTTCCCTTGCAGAACAAACAGGCAAGAACTCCCCATCTCTGCTAGGAACGGGCCTCAGCTTCTTCTAACAGCATCATCTTTAAAAATTGAGGGAAGAATTTACTTTTTAAGACCAATTTCATGGCTATATTTGGAACCTAAGTTAGAGCTCGCTCTCTGAGGTGTTCAGGTAACACCAAACTGCAATGCCAAGGTCCTGCAGGAGTCCTTCAGCCGTGTCAACTCACACCTTGCTGCCTGAACCAACGACACCCACGCGAGCTCTGCCTGCAGAGCGTGCTAAGTGTGACTTTCCAAGGCTCAGAACAGGCTTTAATGGGCTTTGAATCTTTAACTACTGGGTTCATGGCAGTATTGATGCAATGAGAGCAGGAACTACCCCAGATCAGTAGCCAGGGAAAGTGATTCCCTGGGAGATCCTCCCCTGGCTGCTCCTACCTGTCGTAGTTGTCACTGGATTAACTTTCGTGAGGTCATCAAAAAGGTGCAGTTTCTCTTCATCACTGAGGAAGGCTCTCACTTCTTCTTCAAATGATTCATTGAGGTCGTTCTGGATGAGAGAATCTCCTTTTTGGCCATTTTCCTGGAGGGGGTGTCAGATCAGCACCAGTCAAAGGCTGAATCCAGCTGGACTTTCACCTCATCCTCTATTCCAGCTCTTCTACTGCTCCCACGTCCAACTGTGGACCAACACAACTGCACTTTTCCCAGCAGGACCTTTCATTTTCAGAGCACAGGGTGCACACACCACAGCCAGGGGACAGAAATGGTGGTGCTGAAAGAGCTGGCCTGCATTAAGCTGAAGATTTGTCCCCTTTGAATCACTGTTCAGTTCCTCTGGGCTCCCGTGCCCTTGATAATATTGGCTTATTGTACAAACGTAATGGAAAACTAAAAGAGAAATTCCAGGTCCTGTTTGTCATTTCCAGGGAAAGGAGAGGTGAGATAAGAAAATGAAGAAGAGAATAAATACCCTTAAGGATCTGCTTGGTACCTGCATTAGCACCTGCCCTGCTAAAGCCAAGAGCACAGCAAAGATCCCTGCCTGCTGTTGGTAGCACAGCTCAAACCCACAGTAAATAGTCCAGTCAATTCATGAAGTAGGGGTGAATATTTATTAGCAGTTACCTAATCCTGACTGCATGGAAATAAGCCAAGAATTCTTTCCTGGCAGTAAAATTTAATTAGCACACACAATTCCTGGTTTTCTCTTTACCTGCTTTGGCATCTTGTCCAGGCCTGTGGACGGGAACGCTGGAGAGGAGCCTGACTTTGGGGTACTTCATTCAAATCACACTGGAGGATGCTGAGATAAGAAAAAATAAAATTGCATTTAGAACCAAATAACTCTGGACATGTCATTCTCCAGGGGCAAAGCCCAAAGGCTTCAGACAGAATTACTGATCCCAGTGGGACCAAGCAACATTTGGAAGCCTACCAAGACTATCAGCGACGGTCACATGTTCTGCTGCCCCTGCAAATAAAGCTGATTTGGAGAGAATAATGAATCTTTCCTTACACCAGGAATAAAATGCTTTGTTTCTCTTGAATTACTAAAGCAAGGCTTCTGGGCGAGAAATTGCAACTTTTTCTTAAATTCCTCCAGTTTGGACAAACAGGAAAGATCTGTGGTCTGACGGCATCGGAGCAGCCAGTGCTTTTGGGAAGGCTGTGACTCAGAGAAGTTTGTACTGCAGCAGAAACGAGATAGGCTGCTGTCCCCTTCCTGCTTCCTCTGGAAAACTGTGGAGCCAGCCCAAGGTGAGTCAATCCCTTCAGATTTCTGTGGTAAACACAGAGATTCCAGTCACACAGCCAGGAAGAATTCTGTCCTTCCAGCAGCTGAAACTGCCATTACTTCCACTCCATTTCTAATTCTAATTCTATTCTAATTTTAATTCTATTCCAATTCTATTCTATTATAGTCTATTTTAATTATATTATATTCCAATTCTACTATATATTCTATTTTAATTCTATTCTAATATATAATATTCTGTTCTAATTCTATGTATCTATTCTAATATATAATATTCTGTTCTAATTCTATGTATCTATTCTATCATATTCTATTCTATTCTATTCCCTATTCCTATTCCATTCCTTATTCCGTCCTTACCTGGCACGAAAACACCCCTTAGCGCCAGGTTCGATCCCTGAGCAGCCGCTCGGGATCCCCATTCCCCGACCCCGCCGGTGCATCCCTGTTTCCCGCGGGCCGCGGCGGCCTTTGTGCCGGTGCGGGATGCCGGGGATCCCTGCGGGTGCCGGGATCCCTGCGGGCGCTGCCGCCGGGCCCGCGGTGCCGCCGGGCAGGAGCGCAGCCGGGCTGGGAGCGGGCGGGCCGCGGGCAGCGCAGCCATCCCGGGGCGGCGGGAGGCGCGGGATGGGATGGGATGGGATGAGATGGGATGGCAGGGATGGTATGGGATGGGATGGGATGGGACGGGACGGGAGGGCTGGGGCGGATCGGGCCGGTGCGGGACTTACCGCGGGCGGCGGGGCCGGAGCGGGGCAGCGGCGGGCAGAGGAGGCGGAGGCTCGGGCGGGGTCTCGGCGGCTGCGGAAGCGGCTCCGCTGGCGAAAGTGCGGGCGGCGAGCGCGGCCGGGCTTTACCTGCGGGATGGGTGTCCCTGCGATGCGGGACACACGCACGGCCCGGCCCCGCCCGGGCTGCCCCCGCTCCCGGTAAGATCCTGCGGAGGGGGGAAACAAAACCCGCTGGCTCTGAGCTCTTAATGAACGCTGTGGACGTTCCGCGGGTGTTCTCCAGCCGGGCTCGAAGAGGCACTCGGGGTGCCCGTGGGGGATCTCAGCCGCCGGGTTTGCTGCTGACCTGGCAGCAGCAAGTCCCTTAAGGGTCCTTTTTTAGGTAACTGCTTCATTTACGCTATAGAGAATATGGCAAAGTGTGTCCTACAGTTAAGATTATTCACAATGGGAATAGTCGGTGGAGTGTTTGGTATTTAGAGATCTTAAGCGCAAATATACAAAGAATCTTGCTGGAGCACAGCAGGGTGGATAATGCTGGAGCTTGCCCAAGTCTTCCATGTTTCCTGTGCCTCTGCTCAGCTTCCCAGGCCAGTGCTGGTGTTTCCAGCTCTGGGGCTGCTGCTCTGTGTTCCTTAAATTGAAAACTAACTCAATAACTCCTGAAATCAATGGTGTTTTAATGAACTGGTACATAAGATTCATTTTTAAGGAGTTCTGACCCCCCTGTTCTACAAAACTAATGCAAGTTCACATTTGTGTTTTCAGAGGAAGAAAGAAGAATGTCCCAAAAACAGCTGAAAGAAGCCTTTATCAGCAACCTGAACGGGACCAGTTTGCTGGAAATTTCCGTGGGCTTGTCCCTGGCTCCGCTGTGCCTGCTCTGCAGAGGGCTCCTCCTGATCCTGTACCACCTGCACTGTGGAAAACCTGTAAGTTCAAGGAAATACAGCCTGCTGCTGGACTTCCTGGTGCTGGTGTCTCCTCTGCTGTTCTCCTGCACCGTCTTGTCTCCAGTCCTCTTTCTCATGCCAGTTATCCTCGCTGCCTTCTGCGCCGGAATATTTTCCAAAATATGCAGCCAAAGAAAACAGGAGAGCAGAGTGTCCTTTGGGCAAGTTGTAAAGGAGTTCCAGCAGACACACTTGGACCCCGAGTACATCCCAGCAATAACCGCGTTCCGTGTCTATGTCAATGTGCTGACGTGCATCAGCATTTTAGCCGTGGATTTCCCGCAGTATCCCAGGCGATACGCCAAAGCCGAGACCTACGGCACGGGAGTTATGGACCTGGGGGTGGGAGCTTTTATCTTCGGCAACGCCCTCGTTTGTCCCGAGGTTCGACAGAGGTCCCGTGAGACACAGCCCAAGTTTTCCAACCTGGCCAGGCAGTTCTTTTCCATCTGGCCCTTGGTTTCCCTGGGCGTTGGGCGGCTGCTGAGCGTTAAATCCATAGAGTACCACGAGCACACGTCGGAGTACGGAGTGCACTGGAATTTCTTCTTTACCTTGGCATTCGTGAGACTTGCAGCATCTCTGCTTTTAGCTGTGTTTCCTAAAAATAAGCCTTGGATTGTGGCTCTAACTCTGGCTGCACTTTATCAGCTCTTTCTCAACACTACCTCTCTGAAGACGTTTCTCCTGCATGGGAGCAGCGGCAGGGACAGCAGGGTTGGGTTTCTGGATGCCAACAGGGAAGGGCTGCTCTCCCTCGTTGGGTATCTGGCCATTTACCTGGCGAGTGTGCAGGTGGGGCTGTGGCTGCTGAAGTGCAGGGGCTCAGTGAGGGGCTGGCTTGGGGCTCTGCGGGTTCTGGCCCTGGCGGTTGTGGTGCTGTTCGTGTCCCTCCACGTGTCCCAGGCGCACACGGACCCCGTGTCCCGCCGGATGGCCAACCTGTCCTACTGCCTGTGGGTCATTGCCCACTGCCTGATGTTATTTATCTTCTTTGTGGCCACCGATCTCACCTTGGTGTTCACAAAGCTGCTGGTGAAGGGCTCCAGCGTGCCCTGCAGCTGGAGCGTCGTGAGGCCCCCTAATTCCAACAAAAAGCTGGGAACGGAGGCTGCGCCGGTGGGAAGGGAAGAGGAGCTGCCACACCTTTGCCTAATTAGTGCTATTAACAAAAACCAGCTGCTGTTTTTCTTGCTGGCAAATGTCATGACTGGTGCTGTGAACGTCCTGGTGGATACAATCCACAGCAAGGCTGCCTTTGCACTCTGCACATTGCACTTGTACATGTTCCTGAACTGTTTAATTGTGTCTATACTGCACGCCAAAAATATAGTATTAAAGTTTTGGTGATTCCACTCTTGAGTGGACTAGTTGAGTGATGGTATTTAAGGGAAAAATCAGTATTTTTCCTGTATGTATTGCAATAATTTATCATTTAGTATAGATTTTTATTCTTTAGTATTGGTTATTTTTTAATGGTCCTTTTCACCAGATTATACAGGCAATGCTGTTACCTGTTGGAAGTTGTTGCACATTTTCCTGAAAACTTAGTTTTTGAGATTGCTGAATATTCCTGCTGCTCCTAGGAGTAAATTGTATTTACAGTTAGTGAACTGTGCTCGTACCCAAGGGCTGGTGGAATTAGATAACAATGTATGGAGGAGAAGCCAGATGAAAAGTAAGAAAATGAGTAATTATAGAGAGAGAGAGACTTAGCTGTGTCAAGATTTACCTAGTTAAGGCCCTTGCATAAATAATAGATAAGAATAATTCTTTATACAAAATGTATTGAATAAGTGGATACTTAAAAATGTTTTTGGCCCCAGTCCTGCAAGGATTTATGCATATGCTTGACTTTGATGGTAGTAATTGTATGTGGAATGTTAATCACACACCGAAATCTAAATTAGTCTTTGAATTAAGGCTAAATTTTATTTCCATCCTCACTGATGAATACAAATGAAGACCCTGGATAAAGTGTGATGCTCTGAAGGATAAACTCTACTGCAGATGAATTCAGAAAGCAGTTGAACGCTGTTTGGACAGCAGAGATGTCTTCAAGGGGGAATATTTGGTATTAATTTTTCTTAGCAAACAAACAGGGTGCAGATGGAAAGACGGTGATGCAGTGGCAGGGCCTTGACAAGAGATGTGCTCGGTTTGTCTCTCTCAGTCTTCCTGCAAGGCCAGAGCAGAACATCCTCTTTGTTCCCTTTCTTAACTGTGACAGTTCTTCCTGATCTCATAAAGATGCTGAGAAGAGAAATATATTTAAAGATTGTGAGGAATTCAGTAATGGGATATAAATACTTTAGAATACAAATGGTAGTTGATGATAGATGGCTGATGTCAGTCCAGTTACAGCAGTGCACATGGGCCATATTTCATATTTCTCCTGTCTATCAAATGTGATGAACCATAAAACCTTTGGAGATTAAGCCTCTAAATCAGATTCCTTAAGGCAGCCATGCTGTGGAAGATTCCTAAACTTATGAGGTTCTCTTAGCCCCTGGCCAGCAGAAAGGTGAAGCCTGAGGATTACAGGCTGTGGCCATGCTGAGTTCCTGCTTGTTTGCTTCCAAGTGAAAGCCAAGTAGTGTTCAGAATTAAAGAAATCCAGCCTGGTTTATCCTGGGGACAAATTCAGTAATTGGCAGCAATGTCTTAGAAACAGTCGTGTGTTTACAGCAGTTTTCTGGTAACTGGTGGATGTATTTATTTTAAAACACTCTCTGGCCTTGCCTAGGGAAGAAAGGCCTCCCTTGGTGAACTGAATGGCACAACTTCTTTATGCAAAACTACTCATGGATATTAATTTTTGGAACATTTCAAGCCCGAGCCCTGCGCTGAGTTCTGCCTGTGAGCACAAGTCTGGTGGGTGATTCAGAACCGAGGCATTCACAGGGTGTGACGAGCAGGGCTGTGCCTGGACAAGCACAAGCTGCCCAGGTGCCAAGCACTCCTGGGGAGGCAGAAATGCCGTGGGAGGTCTGGTGTGTCTGTGCAGAGCCCTGGGAGCTCCACACAGGCAGGGGCATGGTGGGTGCCAGTGCCAGGGTTGGAGCCAGCAAAGCAAGGGGGTCTGGTTGGACATCAGGAGGAATTTCTTCCTGGAAAGGGTGGTCAGGCATGGAAGGGAGGTGGTGGAATCCCCATCCCTGGAGGTGTCCAAGGAACAACTCAATGCTCTGGGCTGGGTGACAAGGTGGGGGTCAGTCACAGGGTGGACTGGATGATCCTGGAGGTCTTTTCCAACCTAAATAATTCTGTGATTCTGCAAGTTGTTCACCACTGAATTAATGAGGGACAATTAATCCTCATTGCTTATTGTCAATAACAAGAGCAGCGAGCTCTGCCCTGAAGCACCCAGTGGGGTTATTAATGCTGAATATTCAGGCCATGAATACAGATAATTACCCAGGCCCCTCGAAGAGCCCAGAGATGCAAGGGGGCATTCTTTGATCCCAGGGTCTGTGGGAGCAAACAGCACTGCAGTGGGGCTGAAAAGATGTGAGCAGTGAACGCTCTGCAGACACTTTCTCCACACACACCCCCGGACTGTCAGCTGGGTGCTGCAACACTGCATTTCACTTCACTCCGGGCTGTTTAGACAAGTAACCTTGTACAGATTAAAGATACATTAAAAAAATCAGACCCTTTTATTTAGTTGTTACATAATTAGTAAAAATTTAAGATATTTCAAATGTGAACACTGAAATGGTTCAACCATAGCGTGCCACCGACTTCAGTAACAGTAAATCAGGGGACTGGAGAAACAGAAAGAGTTTTGCCTTTGCTGCCATAATTCCACCAAATGACCCTTTTGTAGGGCTGCAAGATCGAAAAAATATGATGGGAGGGCAGAGCTGATTACATTTAACCTTTTGTTAAACATGAGTAACTTCTTAACATATCTCATTATTTTTAAGGATCAGCCCCTTAGCATGCCTCGCCTTTCAACCCAGCACTGTCTCTTTTGAAGTCAGATGTTACAATAAAGATTGCAGGCAGTATCCTATTTCAAAGCCACCGTGTCCTCGGGAACAGGTATTTCTTCCAGGCAAAGAGGGGCATGCAAATGAACGCAGGAAGGGGCTGGCTGTCTTTCCACTGTGTTGCAGACAAGAAGCAAGCTGAGCGTTCCAGCAACTTGAAAAAAAAAAAGAAAAATCCATGGATAAAAATCGTATGAAATGCGGTGGTGCTTTTCATACGTAGTTCGTCAACGTGCAATCCAGGAATGCAAAATTTGGGCACCGCTGTTGATGTGATCCAGCCACGCTCTGGGAGTGGAGGGGCTGAAGTGACACAGCAAGCCACATCCTTGCAAAGGAAGCGTAAGTTCACCTTGGTTCAGGTTGCTCACAGAGCCCTGGTGGGAGAAATATTCTTTATTATAAAATCCCAGCTTTGCTGCTGCAGAAAAAGATGGAAACACACCGACTGCAAACTGTTCCCGTTAGAGATGCTGCACGAGGAGCTCGAGAAAATTAACTCCTCCACTTAACACGGGTTTTATGCAGACACAAGGAAAAAAACCACACCAAATTCCTGCTCCTTAATTACCTCCCCTGCATTTTCTCGTGAGGACTTCAGTGCCTATACACACACATACATACACACACACAACAAGAACGAACAGATCAGCGGGGTTATTTAATAGCTCAAGAAAGGCTCTGGGCTTGGTGTTTTATTTTTCTTGGCCGGTTGATTGAGGCAGCCGCAGGATTTCGGGCGGGTTGCAGGCACCAGCATCCCTGGGCCGGAGCAGTTCCATCCTGCCCTGCCTGGGGGGGACCAGGGCACTGGGGGGGCTCAGGTGTGTTTGGGCCGGGGCGGCGCCTGAGGCGAATCCGCACAACATCCCGGCTTGGAAAGGACCCACAAGGGTCGAATCCAAGCGAGAACCCCGCACCGAGCGCGCTGAATTCCGCGCATTTTCGCCCTGAGGGGCCGCGCCAGGGCCGGGCCCTCCCGGGGCCGTTCGCGCCCGCGGTAACGCCCCGTGAGGGGCCACTCGAGGAGGCGGCGGGTTTTAACCCCCCTCAGGGGCTCCCCCGGGCCCCTCGCTGCCCAAACCGCCGCTGCCGGAGGCCGTTCCGGGCTCGGCCGAGGGGCCGCTCCGGGCACGGCCCCGCCCGCTCCCCCCGCGCTCGGGCCGGGCCGGTGCCCGCGGGCGGTACCGGGCGGTGCCCGCGGCTCTCGCGAGAGCGGGGCGGGGCGGCCCCGGGGCGGGCGGGCAGCGAGGAGGAGGCGGCTCCGGAGCCCGCGGTGCCGCCCGCCTGTCACAGCGCCCGGGCCCCGAGCGCCGCCAGCACCCGGTGAGGGCCCGCGGGCCGCGCCCCCGGCCAGGGAGAGGAAGGGGGACGGGGATGGGGGACGGGATCCGCCCGCCGCGCGGGGCTGCTCCCCGGCACCGGGCGAGGCCGGGCAGCGCCGTTCGGAAGGGGTGGGAGTGCGGCGGGACCGCGGTGCAGCCCCGCGGGGAGGCGGCGGGGCGGGCGCTGGGCGGCGGGGAGGGGCGCCCCGGGGGCAGCGCCGGGCGTTGTGGCGGCTCCCGCTGGCCGGGCCGGGCGTGCGGAGGAGCCGCAGGGCCGCGCCGGGCCGGGCCGGGCCGGGCTGGGCGGGTCCCGCCGGCCGCGCTGGGCCGGTGGCGGGCGGGGGGCGGTGGCTCCATCTCCTCCCTGCCCTCCCCCCCGGGCTCCATGGCCCCCTAGCGCTCCATCACCCCACGGGGCTTCCTCTCCCCCGACCAGTCTCCCTCTTCCCCCTCCGGGGTCCATTTTTCCCCCCGGCCGACTCCGTCTCCCCACTGTGGTCTCCATCCCCACCAGCCGAGCTCCATCCCCCCAGCTGGGTTCCATTCTGCCGCCGGGTCTCCATCTCACCCACCGGGATTCCATCCCCCTCAGCCGGGCTCCACCCGCCCCAACCGGGCTACACGTACCCCACCGGGTCTCCATCTCCCCCCGGCTGGCTCCATCACCCCCAACCGCGTTTCCATCTCCCCACCGCGTTTCCAGCCCCCCCAGCTTCATCCTCCTTAACTGGGCTCCGTCTCCCCCACTGGGTTTCCATCCCCCCTCGGGCTCCATCGCCGCCTCTCCATCCCCCCCGCCAGCTGGGTCGCCGATCCCTGCCCGTGTCCCGCCGCTCCGTGCCCGTCCGTGCCCGTGCCGGGGCGGGCCGGGCCGTGTTGAATCAGGCGATGCGGAGCGCAGGCTGTGTCTGTGTGTGCGTGCGGAGGTGGTGAAAGTGTGGCGGGGGAGCGCGCTGGGTGTTTACTCCGGGGCTGGGCCGCTCGCAGGCAGCAGCAGCAGCAGCAGCAGCGGCAGCAGCAGGGAGGAGGAAGCGGCGGCGGCAGCGATGGCGCGGCTGGTGGCGGTGTGCCGGGACGGCGAGGAGGAATTCCCCTTCGAGAAGAGGCAGATCCCGCTGTACATCGATGACACCCTCACGGTGAGTGCCCCCCCGCGTGTTGCAATGCCCGGGCCGGGCCTTCCCTCCCCCTCCTCCCTCCCTCCCTCCCTCCCTCCCCGGCCGGGCCGCGCTGGCTCCTCGTTAATCGCGGGGACTTTGCGACGCTCGGCGTTAACTGCGCTGTTTGTGGCAACTTTGTGGTTTTATTATTTTTTTTTTTTTAATCTGATCCGCGGCTCCCGAGCAGGGCAGGCCGCGGAACGAGGGACTCGGTGCCGCGCTTGGGGCCTGGGCACAACTTGTGTGCTGGAGCCACCAGCGTGTGTCGAGCCCAGAGGTGGAGCAAAGCCATTTTCCAGCCAAGGAGGAAGGGAGCCATGTTAACGTGGAAGCCCAGCTTAAAACTGCGTGGTTGCTCTGCTCCTAAATAGGCAAGGAAAGGCTAAAGGTGATTGTGAAACCTTTGCCTTAAAGTCAGGGTTATTGAGCATGCTGCTGTGTCTGCAGTATCTGAGAGAGTTACCCATTTCAGTGTGTTTTTCTGAATTGAAAAAAAAACACGGTGTTTTTTGCTTTTTTTCCAGAATATTCAGTGGAAAGATGAGCTAAATGCAGCTTGGAGGCTTTCTGATCCTTCCATCTCCTGTGTTTAGAGGAAGGCTCAGAAATTGCATCGTAAGGGAACACGTAGCAAAGTGAAAAAAATTCTCTGATTAGCCAGTTGTTTGTTTTAATTTTTAAGGCATGAAAATAGTGGGTAGAAAATAACATTGCACTTGGATAGTGTAATTTGGTATCTTAATTGTTTGTATTTGATTTCTCTTGCTGTCAGCGTGACAGTACCTGCTGTTACTTTAAATGGTATAAAATGTGGGTGCTTTAAATTCCTGATCTCGTGTTTAGTGTGGAAGAATCCCTGAGTTTTATATCAGCTAACTTGGGCAACTCTGTAACGTAATTTCTAGTGGAAGGTGTCCCTGCTCCTTGCAGGGGTTTGGAATTGGATGATCTTTAAGGTCCTTCCAACCCAAACCATTCAGGGATTCTTCCATCCTCCAGAACGAAATAACTGAGTATCTTCAGACAGTCCCTTGCCCTCCATCCCCCTGTTAAAAATTACCTGTCTTGACCTCATCTGTTTTTGCTGCATCTGAAGAAAGGATCTTTGCTGTATTTTAGTTTTGGTCATTTGAATGGTGGCATATTACTAATTTACTAAACTAAAGCATCACTGGTTTTGGCTTTATGTCATCTCTGTTAACTGTGCTTATACATGAGGCAAAGTTTCCCCTAAAGTTGTCCAGAACAGTATCCATCTGTCCTGAAGGGATTTATGACCTGGAAAACCCAGCACTGTGCAGGAATAGTATAAGTTTTGTGGGTTTGGGTGTCTTGACCACGCCTTTCAAGTTATTTTGCCCTTTCATTTCCCATGGAGTTTTGAGCTCTTGGATTTCTCTCTCTTCATTTCATTTTCCTTGGACTCCCTAGTAAAAATTACCCATTAACTTATGTCATAGACTTGCTATGCTCTTGTTACCTTTGTTGTATGTAATAGTTGAGAAAGAGAGAAAATTCAGCTATAGCAGGCACAGGCCTTCAGCAGGCCTAAAATTAATTCCATTTGTGGTTTGGTCCTGGAATTCCAACCCCAGGCCCAAACTCGGTGTAATTGCACTGTGTTGTTGCTGTCCTGCTGCTTTTCACACCATCCTTGTGATTGAAAGGCTCCTCCAGCTGTAAATCAGTTTTGGATCCATCTGGAGAAGAGGCATTTATGCAAGTGCAAGTCATCCTTACCATGAAGAAATCTTATCTCGGGTCCCTTTTTTCTCCCCCCATTATTGTTGTTACAAAGTGCTCGGATTTCTAGGTGATTTCTGGAGGCTTTTGTTAAATAAATCTGCAGAAGCAAGTGAATGAACTCTTAGCTTCCTTGTCTGTCATCTATAATTTATTTTTTAAATCCTTAATTAGAACAAGGCATGGAGTTGTCTCTGAAACAGAATTTTGCATCTGCAGCACTATCTGTAAAAAAATAGTGGTTATTGGTAGTAACTGGCTGCTGTTGACCTCATTTAAATCACAGACGTTACAAGTAGTGGGACTAAGATGTCTGTTAGTCAGCTGGGAAGACTTAATCTTGGCTTTAAATCTAGAATCAGTGGTTGTAAATTAGGAGTGAATGGCCAGAGTGCTCTTAAGCTTTGTAGTAGCTCAGCAAGCGGTTGAGGTGCGGGGAGATACTCAATGGGTTGTTCACCACCACACTTCTCTGCTCCTTCTGGCTCAGCTAGAAATGAAAGGAGGGTTGAATATTGAACCCTTTTCATTTCTTAAGCGGCTTTTATGATTTCTAGAAGGCATTCCATTTGATGTGGTATTATGGGATTTTTTTTTCCTTCCAGTTCAGGGTGCGATGGTGGTTGATGTTTAACCACTTAATAAAATCTCAGCAGACACATGAATTAATTTAGCCTTTGATTCCTTCGCTCTGTTGTAGAAAATACCTGAGGGTGTTGTCTGATAGTGGGAGATGAAGGTGAGGGGGGGGGGAGTAGGCAGATTTATCTCTTGCCTCTGTTATTAGCAGATAGAGCTTTTACTTTTGCTTGTAGCTCATGCCCCACAGAAACACCAAATTAACATCGTAGGAAACCTGTAATTCTGCAGCAAAAACTGGTGCTGCTGCTTCGTGTGGATGGATCAGGGGCAGGAGAGGTTGGAGTTGGCACTGGGTGCCCTGCACGAGGATAAGGCAGCTGTGCTGATGCTCAGGTTGTGGCACAGGGCAGATCAAAACACTGCCTTGCTTTCTGCCCCCAGAGAACGGGAGTTTATTTTGGAGCAGGGCTGAGAGCCTGTAGGAGCGAGTGTGTGAGTTCTCTGGAGGAAGGGGTGGCAGTTAGGCAGCCAGCAGGGAATTCTGCCTTAACTAGGCAGCTGAGGGAAGGTGGAGGGAGGAAAAGGGATGAATCAGGCACTTTCAGTCGCTGTTGATCAGTCTTAGTTATTCACCAAAGTCGTGGTTTCGTCTTTGGGATTTTAAAGTGAACTTTCACTATTTGTATTGACAAATTCTCTGTTTCTCAGCTTGGACAAGAACACAACTGAGCCAGGCTTCACATGTTTTTCTAGTTGCTTTCATTTTACTCCACAGTTGGATTTTGGCCTGAAAATTATTTTACTGATTTCTGCCCCTCCCCAAGAAAGTGCCCTCTTTGTTTCTCAGTAATTTGATAAGAAATATTATTAATTACTTGCAAGTAATCACATTGTTCTGTAGGCTTAACATTTTACTCTGAGCCTCTTGAGAGTCGCAGCTGCAATCACACAAAACAAACTATGCCTTGGAGTACCTTGTTGGGGTAATATGGTTTTAAATTAGCCTTTGGAGGAGTCGACTCTGTCATTAAATTATTGTGGCTGTTTCTTCATAGCTTTGTAAATTCAGTTTGGCTCTTGGATGCATTTTGGATCTCAGTGTGTTGGAGTATGTTAGTTTTAAAAACCGAAGCAGGGTCTCAAGTCATGTAGATAATAATCTAAATTCTCATGGTCCATTTAGCAACTTTTGCTTTCTCTCTGACAGCAATTTAAGAGTTGCCATTTATAAACTACCTCTAGAACATTATAATAATGAAATATTTATTACTTTGCTGGGACATTTACTATCTTTAACAGTTACTTTTATCCTTTCCCAAGCTCCAATAATCATGTGAAAAGTGTGAGCATTTCACATAATTTCTGTTTTATTTCCCCCAAGAAGGTAAAACAACTAATTTTCTGTGTTTGGCGCTTTTTTTTTCCTGAAAGCTCTTTTTGAAATTATTTTCCCTCTCTTTGTACAGATGGTGATGGAATTTCCTGATAATGTGCTGAACCTCGATGGACACCAGAATAACAGTGCACAATTAAAACAGTTCATTCAGGTAAATACCTGCTCCTGGTTGCTTTCTGCTTTCCTCGGGTTTGTGCTTTTGCTTCTCTAGGAGGTTGTGACTCGTGGAGTGACTTCAGACACGTCAGCACCTGTGAGCAATCCCGTGTTGGTACCAAAGTGCACTGGGTCCCTTTGTTCCCTGGATTTCCCAGCATTTATTACAGCTTGTGATGTCAGGAGGCAATTGCTGCATGTCTGGTTAGGACTGAAAACTTATCATGGAAACTGCAGTTCCTAAATGCATTTTGATTCTTATTTCCCCAAGTAGTTCAGAACTGCTTTTTCAGGTGGAAGTGGGCATTGCCTAAGGTTGGGTTGCCGTGATTGGTGCCATGCCAGGACAGAATTCACGTGCCAGTTTACACATTAGATAGAGCTGAGTAGGGAGAGGTGGTTCTGTGGTACCCCTGGAGCTTTACTAACAGAAGTACAGCTGTGGCAGTGGAGCACCTGTAGCAGCTGCAGGACTGTGCCAGTGGTGTCCAGAGGAGCAGCCCTGTTGCTGCCCTGCAGTTGCAGGTCCTCGCTGGTGCTTTGGCAGCAGCAGTGCAGGCATGTGCTGCATGTCAGACGGAGCTGTGCTGTGGAAGTAGCTCACTCCTGCTTTGCTGTCACCACTGCCATTAATTACAGGAAAGAGGATTATTGCAGAGTGATATTGCTTGTCAGATGATTTAATGGGCCTGCCTCCAGGAGCACAAACCTTAAATGTTACCTGGTGATAGCTCTGCTTTCATA